GTCAAAGAGAAGAGAAGAGAAGAGAAGACTCAGCAATGCTGAGCCCTAGTAAATATAGATGGTACTAGGAGTATGGGTTGACTGAGAGTTTGAGTCGGTTGAGTTTGCTTTGCATGTGACTTTGTTTGCGAATGTTTGTACTTTCTGATGAATTGATTCAGCCCTTACACTTACTGGTATCTATATCTATACTATACTTAGCTTATACCTCGGGCCTCAACCTCTGCCTGGCGCAACGGTCTGTACTGTCGCGTCATCCCTCATCCTCTCATCCTCCTTCGACACAATGGTGGATTTCGACTTCGACTTTGACTTGTTGACACGACGGTCTGTACTGTCGCGTTTCTGGACTTCGACTGGTGGATTCGACGGCCTGTACTACTGTCTCCGCGTGCATCCCTTATCCTCCCTCCTCCAACACGACAGTCTGTACTGTCGTGTTGTCCGCTGGACTTGGACCTGCCGATGCAATGGTCTATACTGTTGTTGCGTCTATCCTTTGTTCTCTCCTCCGATATGACGGTCTGTACTAGTTTGAGACATGGGTTGGTATGTATTCACATCAATCACGTCGCTATCCTGACTCAATCTTCTCGTATGTCTTCTTATAGTGTCTCCATGTTAATTATCTATGTTTAGTCACAGTTGTATCCGGGTGGCATCCATGTAGGTAGGCACCTTGTACTTCATCGCTACCGTTTCTTATTAAAATAAGATCACGTTGTTCTCTGTTGTTCGTACTCTCCTGGTCGTTGTCGTAAGTTACGTTTATTTTCCCTTGTTTCTCTCGATTTAAATAGTCATTTCAGGCTCTGTCTGTCTGCAAGACTCGCAACACGACCTATAGACGACGACGGTACATACTGTCGTCGCCGTCAAGCTCATTTTTCGCTCGATGCCCGCGTCTCGTGCAGCGCTCACGCGGTGTATGTGTGAGGAGTGCATTAGAAAGGGAGGATATGACGAAAAAGGTGCCCCAAGAGGGGTGCTAATACCAGAACGTTCAATCTCAGCCCATGTCCAGCGTGTAAAGGCAGCAACTATCTCCTCTATCACCAACAATCTCGGACATTTGTCTCTTACCGCGGATCATTCCCAGCCCCCGTCGCTCACATCTGCAACGGCAACTAATCTAGATCACCCAGGACCATGCAACCTTCCTGCTGTTCCTGTATCTGCTCTATCAGATAGACTTGAGCGGTTGAAGTTGTCAGATTCCATGTCAGCCCCGCCGATAGAAAAGGCTGACAGAAAGACTGTGCCAAAGCTGAAACACAACCGGCGCACGTTGAAAGAATTGCGGATCCTTGCTAATATCGACTCCCGAATTCAACGAGGCTTTCGCTTATTGTTGCATCCCTGCAACCTTGATGACTTTGGTCGCGAGCTATCTTTGCTTTGCACAGCCATAGAAAACATCAATGGAGGGGCAGATGTTGTAATTGCGCGAAAAAAGGCAATAGTAATGCAGATGGATGACTTGGCTACTCAGCTCGCCAGCTACCAGGATGTGCTGCAAGTACCCGTCGAAATTAATACGGGTAAGTCATGAGTATATCAACGATGGCTCCTTGCTGACCGTTTTCTAGACGCTCTGCAGCAAGCTCCAGTTGACCGCTCAGACGAGATCAGCCAAGTTGTTCTATTTCTTTGTGTAACATGCAGAGTTGTCATGGGGGTCAGCAGGCGGAGCTGTGACTTCATCATAAAGATAATTTCCATCATATTGTTCCTCTCATTTCGGAGGTCGGACGGCAGTCTTAGCTCCCTACATGAAAGTATTCTCAAGCAAATTCCCCTGACCTCGGAAGGTGCAGAGACAAAATTTCATCTCAGTGGCAAAACCATTGCGTACGCCGTCTGTAATTGTCGTTGCACCTATCCTCCGACGTATGTGCCAGGCTCTACGACTGCGAGATACCCTGAACGTTGTACGCATTGTCCTGCGCCCGGGACCGAATGTGGCGATGCTCTACTTGTTGGCACTGAAGGAGAGTTCCGTCCGAAGAAGGTTTTCATGTATCACGACTTCAAAGATTATCTTTTGGGTCTCCTTTCTCCTAGAGATGTGGAAGCCGTGATGGATGAAGCTTGTGATGATCTTATGGACTCCATTAACTCTCCTCTTCCGCCCTTCGTCAAGAATCCATTTGAAGCCCAATTCCTACGTCAGTTTGGTGGCCCGAAGCCTGAGACTCTTTTCATTGATAGAGGAGAGGAAGGACACTATGCCTTCGCCTTTCATGTAGATTTCTTCAATCCTGAAGGGATGAATGTGCAGGGAGCTAGTATGTCTTGCGGAATCATCTCCATGGCGTGCTTGAATCTGCCTTTGGATATTAGATATAAGCCGGAGAATATGTACCTTGCGGGTATCATTCCCGGTCCGAAGCAGCCGTCTCTCGAAAATCTCAACCACTACATCCGACCGCTCATCAATGATTTAGTAGATGCATGGGAGCGTGGCATCAAGTTTTCCAAAACCGCGTGTTACCCTAACGGTCGGCTAACTCGTAGTGCTGTCGCCCTCGTTGTTTGCGATCTTCCTGCTGCTCGTCATGTCTCTTCTCTGGCTGGAGTCAGTAGTCATTTCTACTGCAGTGCATGTAAATGCTACCACAAGTCTACTTATGGAAGGGTGGACTGCGAGAATTGGGAACCTCGCGATAAAAACGAACTTCGAAAATACGCAGAGCAGTGGCGAGACGCTGTCATGTCCTCTGAGCGTGAAAAGCTATTCAAGGCTCATGGTGTTCGTTACTCCGAACTCTGGCGTCTATCATACTGGGACCCTTCGTGGCAGCTTATTGTCGATCCGATGCACTGTATATTGGAAGGTCTAGTCCCGTATCACGTTCATAATCTCCTCAGTTTGACCTCACAGTCAAATACATCAACATCGGCCTCACCCGCATTTTTGCATAACTTTGGTGAAGTACCTCTCGGGACGATGTCATCCAAGGAAATGACACAAATATCCACGATTCACGCCCTCCTTGTTTCCCAAATTGTTTCAAATAACGGACAGCTGGACGAATGTTTTGACGCGTTGAAAAAATCCTTGCTGTACAAGAACGTGGGTGCGTTGAAGTTCGTTTGCAGTACCTTGGGTTGTATGCCACAGAAAGCTGGTAGAACACTTAAAGTTGATTACGTTAAAGCCCTTCTTGACTGGGTAAGCTCTGCGTTCACCATGTCCGTTGTTCTAAGTTTCTAATGTTTCTATACAGCGTCGTGAACAGCCTTTAGCTGCCCCTAAAGAAGAGCATCAATTTGGCACGACAGAAGTACTTGGACACATTCGCAATGTCATCCGAGATACATCTATCCCTACTTGGCTGGGTTCAGTTCCGAGTAATTTCGGCGAGGCATCAGCTGGGACACTCAAGGCTGATGAGTGGCAAACGCTCATCACGGTCTACCTTCCCATCACCCTTGTGAACTTGTGGGGAGCCGGTACTTCGCACTCCTCTCCTGAACTTGCTGCCCGCCTCAGAACCGTTCTTGATCACACCATGGAGCTGGTCTCTGCCGCTTATATTGCATGTGCACGAATGATGACTGCAAGGAGGGCACAGGCCTATCGTTCATACATGGTTAGTTATGTCGGAAAGTTGAAGGAGATTCATCCTACCTCCTCGCTGCGTCCGAACCACCATGCAGCTTTCCATATATACGACTACCTACTCCTATTCGGTCCCGCCCACTCGTGGTGGTGTTTTCCTTTCGAGCGCCTGATTGGAATACTCCAGCGGCTTCCTGTAAATCACAAATTTGGTAAGTCACTATGAGAATACAGAACGGGCAAGTGGACTAATGGTCTCTAAGGGGAGCTCGAGAATACGATGCTTCATTCATATATCAAGACTGCAGTGTTTCACCGCTGGTTTGCTCGACTGGATTGTCCGCCTGCTATTCGAGAGTGCAGGGACATCTTTGATAGAGTATATGCACCCAAGAGTTCTCAAAATTCCTACCAAGAGTTTGCTGAGGACCCCATGAATGATGCTATTCAAGTGCCTGACTGTGCAATGACTAGCGCTGTGCCTGATGACTTATATACCCTCCTGAGACGACGAACAGCAATACTATGTGCGACACTCAAATTCGACGGTGTTATATACAGTAGGGCATCTACACACTTGGGGAACAGCCAAATTCTCTACTACCCCCGAGGAGACCGGACATTGACCCCTGTTCCTGCCAGCATCAAATACATCTATGGCACGCTGATGGGAGAATTGTTGTTTGCTGCACAGAGACATCTCCCGCTGGATCCTCACGACTGCATGATCGATCCCTTTTCGATTTATCCGGACTTCCCTGCAAAAATGTATTCGACGGAGTTGGAGAGTCGCCTAGAAAATGTTAAGGTAACCTGGGTAGTCAGTCACTTCACGCGATGGACAGTTTCCAGCCGTCACTCAGTGATTCTATCCCTATCTCGTGATTAATCAGTTTGTCTAAAGTTATATTTCGCGATATCTTCTGTTAGTTGTGTACGATTTGTACTGTATGATGAATACATATTTTGCTAATTTTGGTTTGATCACCATTTGTCCTTCATGAGTGGGCGATGATTGAGTGATGAGTGGGCGACGATTGAGTGATGAGCGGGCGATGATCGGGCGATTTATTTTGTCCGAAGGCGAAACTTGAAGTTTCGCCATCACATTTTGTCGCCAGCGTAAATTTCAAGTTTTTGGTAGTCCCTTATTGTTCGACGAAACTTAAAATATTGGCAAGCATATAGCGGTGGATTAAACTTCAAGTTTCGTACCAAGTTTGATGCGATAATTAAATTTAAAATTCAAGCAGACGCTGAAAATCCAATTATATTTCTTATTTGTGTTGACGTATAGTCAGTGAAAAAATGACCGTGGATATTTCATATTTTTGATTTCGTGCACAACGATGACTAAATTTGAAGTTATATGTCCCTCTTTATGTCAGTTTAAACTCCAAATATTTTCTTCACATTTCGTACGTGTAAGCCTATCCTAAATATTGACAACCCCGATGTGCTTGCTAACTTGTTCCAGGGTCCCAAATGCTGCACCGTACGTGTTCTGAAAAAAGAATGAGCATGAATGAGGTGAGTGGGAAGAGAGGACACATGTCAGCTTCTAGCTCATCGAATACGATCAGGCATCCTTGTCCCTGATCCAGCACGCCGTGGAACGCCTTGTCCAAGATCATCTGAGATAGCCTAAAACACAATATGAGCAACTTTTCACAGTGACAATTTAATACGCACTTGGCCTCAGCATCCTGCCGTCCTTGCCCGACCTGCTTGGCAATGTAGTCAATCTCTACCATCGAGTGCGGCTCAATGATACGCAGCAACTGGAGAAGGGCATTGTAAAGCGCTGCAAGATGTAAGCCAATAGTAGGGTCGGACGAGAGTTCTGCATAGCAATAACAAGTCAACAACAAGTTGTGTAAATTACCACGTTTGTAATCCCGAAGGGCCTTCTAGAAATATAACAAGTGCTGATTTTGATGCGCGAGCGCTATGGCACGCACGCTCTCGATCTCGTGGAGCTGAGCATATTTCACCGCAAGCTTGATAGAGAGAAGTGATGTTAGATCTTCGGGCTGGAACGCACATCAAAATGACTGACGAGTCAAGATCAGTGACAACGCACCATATTCAACATGGCCTTGCACAAAAGCATGTACTTGAGTGCATTCAGCGCTGCTGGGTCATCCTGCGATGACATGTTCTCGAAATTCTCATAGAAATATGGGTATGCAGTCGTGTAATGGGCAAGGAACGCAAATGGGTTACGCTTGCACGTCACGTCAGACTCTGCATCGATGAAAGTTTACATGAGCTCGGGGGCATCTGGCATGAGGCGTTCGTATTCGCGGTAGATAGTGTATATGGCAAATACAGTGTTCTCTATCCCATCGCGATCAAAGATCCAAGATGCAACGAGGCGTTTAGTATAGCGAATTTGAGTCAACAGAATGTGGAGGATGGATGTGATGTAGGGCTCGAATAGTCGATCAAGCATATTCAACAAAGTTTCGAATGCAAACATTACGCCTTGACACGTCTCAAAACACTTCTTATCCTCGGAGTCTTGAGTGCTTCGACCAGTTGGTCGACAATGCTGGGAATGCATGTATCCGAGGCATCTAGATGCCCCGCAACTCGTCCAAACAGAATGAGAACGGCTTCCTTGATTTGATCCCCAGTTTCATTCGCAGCACTCGAGCCACCTAGATGTTCTTCAAAAGTCGAGAGTAGCCCTGCAAGCCGCTTGGAGCCATGGATATCGATCACATCAGCTCCAGCTCGAAGCATGCTGCGGCGCACGTCCAATGACCTGCCACCTAATGCTTCATCCTTGATCAAGAATACGAAGAACGGTTCAACCTGGTCCTCCGTGAATGACGGAGCCAAGTGCTCAAATGCAAGGGCCGCTGCCGCTTGGGTAGCCCATGGATCGGAGCGATCGAGGCTAGAAGCAATAACCATGCCCTGGGCATCAAGTGAGGATCATAATCGGAAAGTTTAATATGGCACTAACGTATTGGTCGAACTCGGGTGCAAGAATTTTAGCCTTCAAACTGATTAGAGCCGAGCGCGTAAAGAAAGATAAAGAATCATACCGTTTCCCGTTAGAAGTCTTGTAGAGCAGCTACGGTCAGTGCACCCTTTTGAGGCCAATAAATTACAGCCTCCGCAATGGCCAATGCCGTGCTGGTTCGAACGTACGCATTGTTGTGCTCTAATAGACACATTAGAATTTAAGTATAGAAACACGAACTACATACCGAGATAGCTCATGAGCTTGTCAAGGAAGTCTTCTGGCACATCCAAGCCATTATCCTCCCACGCATAATTAGCGAGACGGGCATTCTGCTCGTCATCGTCATGGCAGGCTATTCAAAGTTGCGGAGACCAATCGAGATCGGTCAAATCGAATGGCTACAAAAACGATGAACACAAGTAATGCAAACTGCAAGAAAACGATGCTGACCTGGATGGCTTGTAGACATGCATTCCTGAAGTAGACCTCTTGCAATAGTGTACCATCAATGAGCACACCGACCTCATCGCGGGTCGCATTCGACTGCACAGCCTCTCTGAGGTCAATGAGAACAGATAATGCTTCCTTGCTAAGTCGTGGCTGATGCCTTATGGCATAGAGGACATGCTCCACGGTTGCTGTTCGGGGAAATGCTGCATCCGAAACTGCAAGAATATTAGAAACGCATCAACTCTTACACCGAAGACATACATTCGCTGCAGTGAAGCTTAATGATGTTGAGCACGAGAGTTATTTGCTCGAATGTTTTATCGCCATCATCTTGGCCGGCGTCTACACCACCCTTCAGTAACACCTGTGCAAGGAGTGGGAGTGCATAGGAAAAGGTTGCAGTGTCAAACGGAGTTTGTTCTGATAGTGATCGCAGACGATAGAGAACGCGTAGCACAAGAGCTGGAGAATTGTTAACACATCACTTATTTTTCAGACGACGGGTAAAACCTACAGCTAAGTTGTTCAGCCTGCACTTCCTCGGGCACCGACACTATCCCAAGACTTCACAATATCACTGCACCAACCCACTTGTGAAATGTGTCCAAACGGTCCCTTAGTACTATGTCAGTCCTGTGGATGCACCGTGCGTGCAAAAGTCCGGTAGATGGTGTTCCAATGGACTGGTTGACCTTTACATGGATGACCCAGATCATGTTGAATCCGTAACATCTCTCATCCAGAAATGGGTGGGAACAGTAGGTGACGTCGTGAAAGAAGACGTCCACAAGGCAATGCTGCGCTTGTTAAGACACGCCTTGGGCGCAGAAGACATCGACAGAGTCTCATGTATGCTTAATGTAGACATGCCTGTCCATTACATGGATGATACCACTGTCATCTTACAGGCGCTATATCCGATACGAAGGCGTGCGCATGTAGGGGGTAATGGATGTGAATTGTACAGATGCCAAGCGTCAGAAATGCTGCGTTTGTGAATTATAGATCAAAGTCAGGAAAATGTTGAGCCCTGCATCATCGCAGATCCACGATCTCCAGCGGGATGTCTTTCATTTGCACCTGCCCCTTGTCTGCATCCTAAACAACTGATCAATAGCTGCAGACAAACCAATCCAGAAGCTACACACGGTGTAGATCGGCACCTCTGGGTGCGGGTGGAAGGCTTCCTTAACATTGCAGTCCAAAGTTGTTTGCGAGCCTGAGGGGTCGGTGAGGCAGAAAATTTCAAAGCTAGATGTGAAAAGAATTAAGACACGAGTGGTATGAGCAATGTGGTACGCACTTGGGAGTGAACTTTAGTGCGCAAACCAAGGCAAAAGACTCCGGAAGCATACACTGGAATCCAGAATGTGTATGCAGATCAACCGACGACATAAAGCCTTCGCAAAGGACCAGTAAGCAAGAGGTTCTGTGCTAAATTTAAGGACCCGCAGGATTGCGAAGGGTGCATGTGAATCCAACGAAAATCGCTAGATGCAGATACACAGACCAACCAGAGGAAACATACCCATCCAAAGGTAATCAAAGATCGTTCTTCCGTGAATTGCAGGACGAGCTCTTCCTCGTCCATAGTGCAAGCATCACTCGTCAAATGCTACCTCGGAATCAAGAGTGTTGTAACAGTAAATTTATTTCCTGTCTTTTCCAAACAATAGTCCACAAGTTTCGCGAGTTCGTGCCGTATTCAGCAATGCGATAGACAGAAACTGCGGAAGGCATTTTCATGGCAAGTTCACAGTCTTCAGGTCTGGTACTTGGACAGGATCATGGGCTTTACGAGTAATCTGTGCAGACTCTTGCCACTGTGGAAAGGAAAGCCCATGAATTTAAGTAGGAGAAAACGTTGAAAATCAATAGAGAGAGCCACTGAAACCAATGAGGTAGTGCAATGAATTGAAGGCCATTGAATCCCCCAAAAAGACAATGGACATCAGTGGTTGAATCACTGATTGTTGTTGGCATGGTCACTGAATTCAATGCGGTAAATCACTGACTTTCGATGGTGCGGCCACTGATTATTGACGACATAACCATTGAATTTGATAGGGTATATGTATCTAGCAAAAGAATATGAGACCACATCACACATCAAGCCTGGGTGTCCAACGCTACATGAAGGCATTTCACGCAGCATAGTTCACCATTGGCAAGGATTGAACATGCGAACACAAGACCTCCAGTAATGAAAGGTGCATCATTGTTAACCGCTAGGCCACAGGACTATTTCTGTATATCAACAATAATGCAAATATATCCAAATCTTATATCACAGTGCCAATGCCAATAGTATGTCTACCGCGTCCGAGGAAGAACAAAAATTCCACCAAGTCAGTTTCACTAATGAAATTCATATCTCACACCATTGAGATTCATCAGTAAACTACAATGTTCTGTACAGATCTGTACAGAGCTGTACAGTGTCACAGGGCCACAGCTTGGTCCCTACTGGACAGTTCACTACAGTATTACATCACATTGGGAATTTTTGCACAGAATTTGCCAATAACATACCAATTGCTCAACTGTCTTCGCACGTACAGAGTTTGCCAATGTCATATCAATTGCCCAACTGTCTTCACATGTACAAATAGGACAACAATCGTGATATGTATTCAATTGGCAGAAAACATGAATGCATGGTATGCTAAAAGTAAGGACTCGTAGTAAAGGAACTTAATCAAGCAGAACCTGTAGATGATGATGCTTCGAAACATCGTTGCCATCAACCTTGAAGGACTGCGCCCTGCGTGAAATATATATATTAGTATTGAAAAACTCGAAAAAAAACTTGCCATCCAGACACAGCCCACGAACAAAGCTGCTCTACCAGCTTGGGTCCGCAATAAGGGTCCCAAATGATATCGTTTAGTAGCCCAACCATCGTGATATAGATTGACTTGTACTCTTTGGCGGAAAACTTTGGGTACAACTTTCTGCTACCGTTCTTGACTAAACCGTCGAGGACACAATTGAACTTGAAAAGTGTCAGTATATTGTCAAGTAAAAGTATCACAACATACCGCAGTGCAAACCAAAGCTAAGCACTCCAGTGGTAGCTGCTCACGGAAAACCTCAGGTCTCCTGCGAGCAATACAATAAGACCCAGTATAGAAGAACAAAATGACAGCTTCATGGAGCGCGGGGTGAGCAATGTTTCGAGTTTTCCCGAGACTATCAACACCATTGTGGAGAAAAAAAGACGATGAATCGGTGACACTGAGCAACAGAGAACAGACAGAAAACAACTGGTGGTTGTGATGGATGTGTACACATCAGGCAAATGACCCGAAAATGACAAAGTATTAGAAAGCTCTATCCGATATAAAATTTGTAGAAAGTTCATCATAATTGTACTCCGGATGACAAAGCTTTAAATACCCGGACTAAGATGGATGGACACTGCCAAATATACAAGTGTGATAGTTTAGTTACAATTTCATTGCCGAAATGCCAAATATTGCAATACCAACCAGGAAGATTAAGTTGCCTAAAGTGCCCATGGTCACCTGGTTGAGTACCAGTGACAACACATAATAATTCTGCCCTATACTGATCTTAGTATGTAACTTTTGACTGATTTTGTTTCTTCTGCCATATCTAAACAAATGCTAGTATTGTATCAATGTTTATATGGCCAGACTGTTCTGTACAAAAACCGCCTACAGCGCAAGGGTGCCAGGGCACCACAACTCAATACCCATTTGTGTTGGTGTGGTAATATTATACAAGCCTAGCTTGCCCTTGCACTTCTGACAAAAGCTCCATTGGCGTGGACATTAGGTATATGATTGTAATGCAGGCCTGTGTTGGTCATTTCTGACTAATTACGACTGGTTTGATGGGACTACCTTTGGTACAAAGGTGTGGAATGATGACACTACTGTGCCCTTCATCGTCTGGCCGCTGAAGCGTTGTCATCATAAGCAAGGCTTGCAAGTCAGGTTTTTTCCGACAAACTCTCCCTGAATGCTGTGGTCAGACTGGCACCCCCAATTCCAGACTGCATTGTAGAGGGTTGTGTAAGGTATCAAGGTGCTGATTATTTGTAATGTGGTTTCTTCCATACTCATGCTGTTGAGATAGGACAATCCCGGCTTGTTATTTTCAATTATCCAAGCACAAGCAGAATGTTAGCTGCATGTCTTTTCTTGCAGGGCTTGTTTGCGTAGATATAAGATAGCATAATGCCATGATGTTGTAACTAGCTATGGTTTCACAGCGGAATATTGCGTCGTCATCTTGAGCTGCCTTCACAAGCAACTTAGTCAGGATCTAGAGGCTCTCAGCTGGGTTGAAATGCGCAAAAATGGTATGCCATTAGGCTGTAATCGATGTACTACACGAGGGGACATGCTAGAATTAAGACTATGAAGAGACTGCATTCAGATTTGAGGTTCGGTTCACTGCAAGGCGTTTTTGTCTTATCTTCGACAAGGCGCTGTTGGCGCTGACCAGTTGCTTGGCAGCAGACGAAGTGGGAAAGACTTGCCTGTGTCGCTGCAATCAGTATGAGACCCAGTGACATAGTGAAGAGAAATTAGAGCACCGATTCCACCACGTCAGTAGTTGATCAACTTCCTTGTATTCTTCGGTTGCAATGTAAGATATAGAGGCAATGGTAACACAGTTCATGCCATGGAGGCAAGCATTTCCGGATCTTGTAGCTTTAGGCTCCTTTTCGACTGAACTCGGAGACGTGAAAACATGCTTGTAAGCCTGGTAGAATACAATGTAGTGAGGGGACTTCATCAAAAGACGCACATCACTCATGCATACAAGCAATAGACTCCTAAGGAGACCGCACCACAGATCATCTGGATCATAAGTATACTGGGCGTACAAGAAAATGGGCCATTGGTCTCCACACACCAACATCTTGCCGCTCCGCAGGTTTTCCTTCGTCCTGTCATAAAGAAGGGCAAATGAGTTGTTCAGGATGACAAATACTAGCAAACCAATACATACTCTGGGTCGGTCCAGTCCATTCCAGCAGGACAGAGTAAGGATCCTGTAAGCTTGTGATTGAATCCACGGTCAATCTTTGAATTTCTGTGTAAATGAGGTTGAATTACGTCTCCTTTTGGAGAAATCCAATCGAGCACTGCAGACTTCAGTGTCTTCGTATTGTTGCCTCTTGCGCCCGCAGCTCCCTTGCCAATCTGTAAATCATAAGTAGGAAACTCTGGACATGTACAGAACAATGCACTAATTCTCCAACATGAAGGATTTCCTCCTCTGATCCATTTTTCAATCGCTCCAGGAGGCCAGGATAAGAGTCCAAGAGCTGCTTGAAGACACAATGTTCTCGCCGCTCACTTTGAAACAGAAATATGCCAGTCAGCGAGAGAACAGAAAGTTACGTTTTGATGTACTCAGTGGAGAAGTCCTCCAGTGGAGTCTCTTCCATCTGCTCCAGTCTCAAGATACCGTTGGTGAGTAAGGAAGGGTAATTGCATAATGCGAACACTGTTCGACCAAAGTGTCGTCCATGGGAGATGAGCGGATCAGATGTGGAGCTGTCAGCGAGAGGATGAGTCTACAAAACCTGTGGGCAACATCAGACAGCTTATGCCTTTTTTCGGGGTCCCATTCGGAGGGCTGATGATCCATGTTTACTCGGAATGTTCAAAGTGGTGTCCTCCGTGGTCATGAGAACTATAGAGGATGAAAAGGTAGCCTGGGCTTGGTGCATGCTGGAATCCAACTTTTATGCATAGCATTACGGTACGTGATGTAAATGGTGAAATTTATGACAGTGTCAGCGGCGTGGTGACGCCAGAGTGACTGGCACATAACGCCAAACTACTAGTGGCAATCGGGATGACCGGCCCGGCATAGTCATATACTTGAAAGTCTTTGGAGACGCTGCCACCGCTGAAGGGCTAGAAGAAATCATATTATCATGAAAGATGAAAGATAAAACTCACTTTCCACTCACATCCTTGCCCTAGCTCACCATCAGAGAAAACTGACCAATGTCAGAATCCTTGCATCAGACGTTCAAAGTGCAAGAACATACTAGTATCAACTTAAACTTACAGTAACTATTCGACGACTCATCATGTATGTAGTCTGCTAACTTGAATAATTTTCATTAGGATTGAGTTAGCGGGAAATGCTAATCCTAGGGTTGAGGTGGACGATGATGACAACCGCCTCTCGGCGGGGAACGAGGTTGCCCTTTTCACAGTGAAAAGCCACGGAAGAAGTGATGCAGCACATGGAACAGGTGATGCAGAGTCCATAGCTGAACTCAAAGAGCGACTCCAACTTGTGGAATCAGGCTGCTCAAGGCTTGCCGAGCTATACCAGAAGTACAGACTTCGTTGGTTAGAGGAACATTATCGGGCAAAAGTGCTGGAAGAATACACACCTCGTGGAATCGACACTTGCTCTGCTCACCAGATCTCATGGGATGCTCCTTCTCCAATTCAGAGTATGTCTGACAAACACTCCCTGTAGCAAACTGACCATCCTACTAGGAGACGATGTCACGCCTATGGAGGCTAGTTAGTGATGCCAAGAAAAAAACTCAGTTCGCGCTCACTAATGTTGTCCAAGAAATCAAATTCACGAGCATGTTCAATGGCCATTGTGTAAAGGTCTGTCTCAGCTTGGGCATGACACATCTTTGTGTGTAAGATCAGAAACTCCAACCCGATGTTGCGCTCGTATGGATTGTTGTTTTGAGTAGCAAGTGTCTGTGCCATAAGTCCTGTTTGACAGGCTTGTTCGGCATGAAGTGCATCACAGAAGATTTCCTGGACATCGGTGGTGACCCATGTGTTCAACAGAGGCAATGAAGGGCTGATGCACTTCAGGGAGACTGAGAGCAAACAAGTAAATCAGCTGGAGCACTTACATTGAAAATTTCAGATGTCCTGGTATCATGTGTATTAGCGAATTTAGGTGGTGAAAGAGAAGAGCTGTGCAAAAAAAAGTGGTCTTCCATCCAAGCTTCATCATTCGGGAGGGGGTAGGCATGTCATCTGTTTAACCAAGCTTCACATTTCTCTCGCCTAGCCCATGGACAAGTTAACGATGCACATCCTACAGCGTGTTTTGATGTTGTTGAGAGAGACCAGATGTCAGGCTTAATGATTGCTTTGCGGTAATAATAATCAACTCAGATTATTGATTTGTGTGACAAAATTAGAGAAGCTCACACATCTGGTGCTGTTGCAAGTGGTCGATGGCTTGGCTATACAAAGACACTTCCATCTGACCTTGTTTCTTCCTCTCCTCCATGAGAAGATGCTCCAAGATCACGTGTCTTCTTCGACCAACCCGGATGCTCTGGTATTGTCACAATATTGCCTCCTGTTTCACTTCTATAGTGTACTCAACAACAATTTCCCAAAGATCACCAGAGTAGACCCGATCTTTGAGCAAAAATGATAAAATTCGCAATTCAACTTCAAGCTGTATGGAGAATTTTCAGATGCCCAACCAGACGCAAAATTATAGACTGGTCTTATCATCTGATATGAGACCTATGTAGGCATCCAGTAATCCAATGCCCTCCAAGTTTGAGATTTGAAGAAAGTTTATACGAGTAGCTGAGCCATCAAATAGCTCTGATATACAAGTTGACATCACTGATCAGATGACTATTCACTTGAAATTTGGGTGATGCATGTGTCCGCAATGTATTACTTACTAAAACTTTTGTAGTGGCAACTGATTTTGTGAGAGATCTAGATCTGGTGAGAACCTCAAATGGGTGTGATCCGGCGCATCTCGCCACCAGCTGTAGGGTAACTAGGTCATACTTAGGGATAGAGCTCAATTTTGGCTCGAGAAATTGAACTTGCAGTAGTGTCAGCGCCAATCCGACAGGAATAATGCTCCGCAGACTATATGATTGTAGTACACCACAATAGCATCCTTCTGTGCACGAAAAGACCTGGAGCTGAGAAGGATCTGACAACTGAAAAACTACACGATCAGATGAAAGAATAGCACAAACAAACATCAAGAGATGCAGCAGAAAAAGATAGAACATCGAGGGGATGAAGTTGCGCCCTGACAGCCCTATTCGCATAAAATTTGACATGTTCAATTTAGAGAGTAAAAAGGGTGGATGTACTACCTGAGTGTACAAGTATCCAAATGCTAGAGAGTCGGGGAATGATCCAACGACTAAAAATAAAAGCATGCTCGAGTCAAGAGCTTGATCTAGGTCAAGCAATCTATCAGTGATTGCACAGCAATGGAACGAGTAACCCACCTGACTTCGTGTGGTGTTCCTGCTCGTTTGAGTATCTTTACCACTGCTTGAACTCCATTCACTTCCTCAAAAGCGCGAAGTGCTGGAGAAGAATCAACCAGAACGCACAACAGAGTATCCAAGATGGCAGATGTTAAATGCATGAAGGGTGCAGGCTTTTCTGGTGGTTGGAAATTGTTTTCCCTCGAAGAGGCATCAATGGTTGGTGTGTGTCAAGAAGTAAGTAATAACTCAATCAAAATCTGCGATGGATGATGAGGTTTGGGCATCTCAAGGACTTCACTAAACACAACCAACCTCAAGAGAAAACTGACGACCCAGAAAAGACTTGCTTGATTTGTGGTGAAGATAGACTCCTTGGATTATTGACAAGCCTTGACATAACTGGGAGCACAAAGTATTCATTTCAGTATGACGCTCTTCTGTGATTCAGTCAGCCATGATGTTGAGGAAGAAAAAGGCTGTGTACTTACTGGTAGAGCTCTGGCTTGCGCACAGTTCTAGCTGAGGTGTCGTACATTGTATCCAAGCCAGGATCTGCGCAGCAGGTTGGGGTTATTCCCCACCATTGGATTCAAAAGTGTCTTGAAGGTCCAGATACATTTCTAATGTATCATCGTTGGAGGACTGCACACACGCAAGCAGTAAGCTGGTGCTCAAGAACAGCCAGAGCTCTATTTCGTCTTCTAAATGATGAATGTGTTGGTATCGTGGGGAGAGATGCCCTGGCTTCAGTCATGGTTGTGTTTTCACCGGGATGGATTTTGAACATGGGTGGTGGAAAGAGGTTGCAATGGTTAAATGCAACCAGATGGACCTGGGTGCTGTATACTAGGGATGATATATACATTGTTGCATGAACATAGCCACATAGTGGGATGCTCCAATATCTTTAGCAGATGTTAATTGTAGGTATTTTTAACTTGCATTGCTTAGGCACCCTTCCTGAACAGACTCAGATGTGGTGCTTCATCGCTGGCCTTACTCCTACTCGCATGCATATTTTGCAGCATTTGAACAGGATCTGAAAGTCCCTTGCAGCAATCCCATCGCCATCAGACAAGTCAAGCTTTCTCAACAACTCTTTTTGTTCCTGGTTGGTCCACTTGATTTTAACAGCTGAGATTGTCCGTTGACTCTGTTCTTGTCCATCCATCAATAAAAGTGGTGTTTCAACGAATGAAACTCATACTTCTTCGCAGGTGCCGAAAGGTGATCGAAGGAGCTAGCTGGAAGAACCCATCTATCTTCACTAAGTGGTGATAAGCATTGAATTTTCTTGCCCATGAAGCACACTGACCTTGGTATCTGCATGTATCAGAAGCACACCTTGCAATCCAGTAAGTTTTCTTTGTGGTCTCATTCCACCATGAATACACTGCTGCCTCTACGTACTCTCCGTCGTCAGCGCATAGGCAGCACAGATATTTGAAATCGTATTCGGCACGACAATCCTCCAGGTTAGATGGCGGAATTTTCTGTCCCTCGCCATTGGCAGGCCTATGTTTTCAAAAGAGTTATTACTCAGGATCCATACAGAATTTAAGCAATATCTTACCAACACCATTCAACCATTGTCTTCGACGAACTGTCATAGTGTAGCAGGGCAAAACGGTAAGTCATAGCCTGCACGATCAGTTTTCCCAACTGCTGAGCAGTTTCATGATAACTAGGTGGGGTGGTGATATTAGAGGAAGGTGAAGATGGCAGTTCCATTGAGTACCTAGGATTCTCCCCCCCCTCTACTTTAATATAATAGCGACTTTCAGATGCATCATCATGGCCCGTCCAGCCTTTCATGCTGTAATCGACTGGTGCCATAGTTTCTTAGTCTGTGGGAACCAGGCGATCATGCCGTTGGCCATCGCTGGCGCCAAGGGCCGAGCAGGAGTGGTGAGTTCTGATCTTCTAGAATGGAACCAATCACAGAAATATCCTCGTCCTTTCCATTCTCTCCATCCTCTCCTCTCATGGACATGGCACTGTCAGGTCCAACTCCTTTCAGATGCACTTGTACGCGTGAGTTTACACAGGAGAGCGCATACACCAAGCATCAATGCTCGTGTATGAGAGGGAAGAAACATGTGTTTTCCGTGTTATCCAGAGCAAAATATCTCCTCGGTTCTGTAAAACGGACTCGAGTGAGTAATAGCAGGTCTTTAAGCATGCAGTCTCATGGCCTGTTGCCATCTTCTGACGAGGTCAATGGACCGTTACATCCGGAGTTCAATGTTGATGAAATTCCATTCACAACGCACTCAGCTCGGGAGGTATCGTATGCAGATTTGTCTCACGATGTGCTCGCCTCAGCATGTGACACTACGCTTGGCACTGCATCTATGCAGATAGACGAAGAGGGGTTATCACTGGCCCAGCGGAGGAGCCGACGTGTTGGCATTCCTATGCCGATCCGCTACAGACAGTACGACAATGTGCTTCTGCAGCCTCCTCCGAGTGTTTCCTCCAGTCAGATTCCTCAACAACCGGAGTTAAACCCACCTGCCAATTCCACTGACATGTCTATCCAAGCTCAAACATTGTCGTGGGCACCTCCATTTCGCACAGCAAGAAATGTTTTTGGGCTAGTACGCCAATGTTTCACACCGACTCCCCCATCTCATGACCTGGAAGAGGTCGTGACGCTCCTAGATATCAGTTCTGTCCCAGTTCTTAGTCCAGCGGATATCCCTGCTGAGATCTCTGACATATCATTTCACCCCTACCCCAACTGGTCATCTTTTGAGCTGGGTCATTGGTATTGGAACGGCGGCGTGCAGAAGTCTCAGCAGAGCTTCAAGGAATTGGTTGATATCATCGGATGTCTGGATTTCAATCCTGATGAGGTGCGAAATACTCCATGGGACAAGATCAGCTCGCAATTAGGGGCGAGTGTTGATGTTGAAGGCAGAGATGAATGGGAAGATGAGGATGCTGGCTGGCATAAATCACAAGTGACAATTGAAGTCCCATTTTCTTGTACCACACCTCAGCCGGACGCTCGACCCTATATTGTGGCAGACCTTTACCATCGATCTCTGGTTTCAGTCATTCGGGAGAAACTCGCAAACACTCAGGACGATGAGCTTTTCCACTACAAGCCTTATCAGCTGCAATGGTGCGCCCCTCATCTTGAACATGAAGTAAACATCCAGGGCAAGTTATATACCTCATCGGCCTTCATGGATGCACACCGTGCACTTCAGGAGTCTCCTGGAGAAATAGGATGTGATTTACCTTGTGTTGTCGTAGCACTCATGTTTTGGTCAGACGCCACACACTTGACATCTTTTGGTAACACAAAGCTGTGGCTGGTATATATGTACTTTGGAAATGAATCCAAGTACTGCCGGTGCAAACCATCCTGCCATCTGGGTAATCACGTGGCCTATTTTCAGAAGGTATGATGGCTATTCTGAACCAATTCTTGTTTGTATTGACATTGATGTCTTGTAGCTTCCGGACTCCTTCAAAGACTTCACAGGTACTTACACTCAAGGCAAGGGAATTGGTCGTGAATGCACAACTCATTGCCACCATGAATTGTTTCAGGCTCAGTGGAGGGTTTTACTTGATCCTGAGTTTTTAGAGGCATACGAACATGGTATTGTGATCTTGTGTTGTGACGGTGTCAAACACAGGTTCTACCCACAAATATTCACTTATTCTGCCGACTATTCTGAAAAGTAAGTCGCCATTATTGTCTTTAATGTATTGCAATTCACAAAAGTCAGGGTTCTTGTTGCGACCATTTGGCAGCTGGGAGGCTGTCCTTGCCCATGGTGTCTCGTACCTATGGGACAACTCCAGAATCTAGGCATGAGTTATGATAGGAAACAGCGCGCTACTCTTCCGCACTCCGATGCTTCAAGAAATGAACTAGTCACCATGGCACGTGGCTTCATCTACAAGATGAATCGTGGTGTAGATAGCACAGCTGTCGAGTCACTCCTTAAGCCTCATTCATGGGTGCCAACTTCTGTGAGCATAATGATCAGCTTCCATTCTCGTTCTTACTAACTCTTAATTAGAACACATTTTCGGACTGCCTCGGTCCACTTGGGTTCAATGTGTTTGTCGCACTCGTTGTCGATCTCCTGCACGAGTTTGAACTTGGAGTATGGCGTATGCTTTTGGTCCATTTACTGAGGATTCTTTGCGCCCTGGATAAAGACCTGATCCATGAGCTTGACAAGAGGTCTGTTGAATATTTGATAATTCCTCGATGCAGGCTAACTATCAATGAACTGTGACAGGTATAGACATGTCCCCCCGTTCGGACAAGCGACCATCAGGCGGTTCTCATCAAACACTTCCGAAATGTCGAATATGGCTGCACAGAATTTCGAAGACATTCTACAGGTGTGTCTTTAGGACAATTTCCATTGGTCATCAGGAACTCATTTCACACTAGTGTTCTATCCCATTTTTCGATGGCCTTTTCCCCGGAGATCACAACGAAATGATCGTGGATCTTCTGTTCACCATGGCACACTGGCACGGACTCGCTAAGCTTTGTATGCATTCTGACCTAACATGAGATATCCTCGACAAACTAACTACTGATCTCGGTGATTGGTTTCGTGAGTTCAAGGCAAAAGTTTGCCCTGCATACCAAACTCAGGAACTTGACTGTGAAGTTGATGCACAATCTCGCAGGCAGGCCAAGGAAGCATCCAAATGGGCAGAGAAAGGCAAGGTAAACATTGTTGCGCGAGGGCGCCTGCAGCTTGGAAGCCTAAGGAAGGTGCCCTCGCCAATGTTCAAGAGATCGCAAGTTCAAAGCAGCTCCAGGATGTCCCTATACCAAAGCAGTTGTGGAGGAAAAAGTTGTTTAATTTCCAGACTTATAAGTTTCATTCGCTTGGGGATTACATGGCCTCAATCCGTCAATTTGGGACGACAGATTCATATAGCACTGAACCAGTAAGTTGCAGCCTGTCACTTGTGCTTGCTCTCACTCAATATTTATTAGGGAGAATTAGAACATCGAATGCCGAAAAGTCGATACCGTCATACTGATCGAAGGGCTTTTGTTTGTCAGCTCACTCAGATCGAGCGACATCAAGTGCGCTTGCGCCGCATCAAACAATGGCAACAACAACAACAAGACCCTCGTGAAGAACTCAACGAGATAGCAAGCAATCCCCAACTACACCATTATATTGGCCAAAGTGAGAAGATTTACGACGAGTTTGGTCACTACCTTTGCAGCCATACAAAAGATCCCGCCATGAAGGTAATTAGCTCTTGACTTTATTATCATTTTCTGATATGTTGATTAGGACTTCTTACCTCGGTTGAAAAATCATATTCTGGACCACCTCGAGCCTGGAGAGACATCAGCTCATCTCGACCAAGCATGTGACTCAATTTTCTTCAAGTGTAACAGAATATATCATCATATGATTGCAAGGTTCAATTATACGACATATGATGTTAGGAGGGCCCAAGATGTGATTAATCCACGGATGCCTCACTGCAATATCATGCTACTCAAGCATCGTGATGATTTGAATGATGATGACCACAATGCCAAATACCGTTACGCTAAGGTCCTTGGCATACATCACATCAACATTGTTCAAGCGGGGAATGTGTACGAATCTTGCCGATTGGAATTTCTATTCGTTCGATGGTACGAAGCTGTGCAAAGTCACGCTTGGGAGACATGCACCTTGGGTCATGTTCGCTTCATGCCTATTGCAGATCCTAATGCATTTGGCTTTGTGGACCCAGGGGTTGTTCTCCGTGCTTGTCACATGATTCCAGCTTTTTCTCTGGGTCAGCGCAATCCTAGCGAACATGGAATTTCCACTCTCGCGGATGATAAGGATGATTGGCGTGAGTACTACATCAATAGGTGAGCATTCCTCCCGATTTGGTTTAAGTGTTATAATGTAAATACGGTTGTGTTAGCTTTGTCGACCAAGACACTATCATGCGGTTTCATTATGGACTTGGAGTGGGACATGTGTACTCACATGAGGCACGGATCGTCGAACCCCCTAATTTGGTGCAATGAGCGCCTGAATTTATCCCTCAGATGACAACACAGGCAGAACACAGACATTCAGACAGGGAAGAAAACCTCACCACCTGCTGGCAAGCTCCTCATGATGAGGATGAGGATGAATGGGATCACATTGGCGCTGAAGAGTTGGAGATTTTTGAGCAGGAATGAAATGGAAGTACCGAATCACTCATTGAGGCACTAGATGAAATGTTTGCTACTGACCATGCGCTCAATTATGAAAATTAGTGTTACATACAGCATATACCCCATCCGATGATACATGGTGCATCATCAATCTGTGACAATTATCATCAATTTCTGGCTGGTTCACGGCAGGCAAATTACCTCAAATTACTAATTACTGTTGGTGCTGCACTTATTCCTGGTGGAAAATTTAGTCATTCCTGGCACAACAATTCAGTTTTCCTGTCGGACGATCTGTCGGATAATCTGACGGACAACTCTTCCAGGCTGCCAGTTCACTCAGTTCATTCATTCTTTTTTTTGGCCTGTACTCCTGGCTGGCTAACGCTGACTCATGATCATTTCAAGCTAATCGGTTGGCATGTCCAGCCCATTAGCTTTTATTTATGACCAAGGTATCGTTTGCCACTAATTGCAACTGTTTCCTGCCTTGTTCAATGGCCATGCAAGGTCAGTTAGCACCAAACCCACCTTACCAATGACTAAATAACTTAATCGTAAGCAGCTCCCCTTTGGCTCTACTTTCCTCAACAGAATCAAGCTTTACAAGTCATCCAACTCCCTGTATGTCACAAATTTGTCGTGTGTATCAGTGCTAATGCTTCTCCTCTAGACTGACAATGTATGCTATCATCTATGAAGTGTTATATCAAACTAACTCATATCCCCTGGATGGGTTTAATGGGTGTTATGTACTCGTTGGGTATTTAGCTTACGACCACTGCAAAATTTCGCCTCTCTACATGCGTAATCATAACTCCCTTGTTTCGTCTCATCATTCTGGTTTGTAGGGCTCAGAGAGTAAGATGGTATTGGCCGTCTTGGGTTTTAGCAATGTAAACCTACCCATAGTCGGAATCCTAGCTATCCCTCAAGGTTCGGGGGACACAGATTTCCACACTGTGTATGAAAGACAGGTGAGAAATCCATAACATCTGAAATTTCATCTCTGAAAGGATGAATGTAGCTCGGTGACAGTGATTTTCTCCGAGCAGTCGTAACTGGATTCTGTCGACCGGATGCATCAGGGCACCCCAGTCGGGTATGGCTTGTAAGTGTCGTTTTCCCTGTTCAGTACTGTGTATCATGTGCTAAATTTGCCTCATCCTCAGCTTAACGCATTGGACCACACAATCCAATTTCATCAGGCTCCGTTTCTGCATGGTTTTCCTCCTCCAGCAGCTTCGGTTGCCGCTATCGATGTCGCACCTGTTTCGCATGCATTGCAGCTCTTTGCACCTGCTATCACAGATGAAGAGCTGGCATCGTTGATGCCATCCATTATGCCAAGTCTTGTCGACATCGAATACAATTACTCCTGCTATACCGACAATTCGCTGATGCAGTTTGAAATGACTCACAGTGAAGACTTTGATCCCATTGTTACATTCCCCTCCGTCGTTAGTCCATCAATTGTGTTTCACCAGGACCTTATCTGGCGAGGTGAAGATACTCCAATGGAGATCACGCACCGGAGGGCTATCAACCATGCATTAAACGGATCGCTCTGGAAACGGGTGTTGTTCGTCACGAAGCGCATATACGTTGGGAGCTACTTGGTTGGGTTACAAAATCCATTTGAGTTTCTTGAAAAACTACCAGGGGCCTTAGCAAGCGACAAATGCCTACTCTCCAACTGTTTTGTGATGGCAGTGGAAATGAGCCATATGACATTGCAAGAACTTCATGAGCACCCACGTAAGCACCTTCCTTAGTCGCCTTGAATCACTATTTAACAGCACAATCAGTGATGGTAGAAACTCAGACCAGTGTTCAAGCCACTGGATGGGATGTCCTTCGCTTGACAGTATGCCTTTCTCGTGCCTCGCCCTCACTCGCTTCTGATCATTGCGAGCAGTTCTCCAAGTACATTGATTCCCGTAACACAGAAATATGCAAGGTCATTCAAGGCTGCATTCTCTCCGACACAGGATTCTCAGATACCAACAAAGATGATCAAGACGCTAAGGCTGCTTATTTCTTTCAACTTCTATCCTCAGATGATCGAAACGAGGTATGAGACTAAAAACCCCACAAGTTGACTTCATAGCTGATTGAGATTCAATATTATTCAGGTGCGACAAGGTATTTTAGAAATTGTACAGCTACACATGTTCAGCGAACTGGTCTGGGTATCCGTATTTCAGAATAGCAGCGGCTTGACCAAGGGCAACTGCCAAGGGAGAATGGCAGATATATTCCCCGAACAAATCCAAGGTCAGGATGGCCTATTAGGCTCAGGTCTAGTTGCGAATTTGCTGACTGTGGTAAGTTTGTCTGCCGCATTGTTGATGACACAAATGACAAAAGCATTATCACATCAGGTATACCATGCGCTCCATCTCTGGCTCCCAGATAGAACTCCAGGGCGCAAACTATCTGCCATGCATCAGATCATTATGGCAGCATTGGGAAACCTGTATGCTAATGAATACCAGTTCCCTCAATTCCATGAGATGATGAGGAAGTTGCCTTTCATCATGTGGGAGTTCTGTGTATGATCGAAACGTGTCATGCTTATCTACTTGCAGGATTTCAAATGTCCTACCTATCGACCCCAAATTATTGGAGCCAAAAATGTCTGTGAATGACAACCGGCTAAGAAACACGGGCGACATTTTACCAATCGTGATGTATGCAACGGACTCCACTCACCCCGGCCTTCCCAACGCGGTATTCACTTCCTTACACTCGCAACAAGCCATGCAGGAAGTCGACAGTTCATGTTTCTAGGGTGGAGCTTGTTGGAAGATACAGTGGCTCAAAAAAGTGTCCCAATATTTGTAGCTTTTCATGTAATTGCTATATCATGTGTCGAGACGTGAGAATATGACTAAGCTTTAGGGTGATGTCGGAAAGGTCTGCATCTCAGCTTCATTTCGGTTCCCTATACCGTGGGAAACTAATGACATTATGTGAAGATATGAGTATTTTAATTTGATGACTCATTGGGACACTTTTTTGACTTTGAGTTTTACTAATGTAATCTCTATAATTCTAGTACTGTGTGTGACCTCCTTCTGCTCCAATCACTTCTGCCACTCTTCTAAACATATTCTCTATCAATTTTGGGTATTTCTCTTTGGTGATTCCATCATACTCTGCTGTAACACTGTCTCATAGTTGGAATAGCCCCTATAGTGAATCTTGATATGCTACAAGTAATTTCTTGAGTGATTCTCAGGGGTATTCAATATGGTTGATGTCTTGGGTCTATGTTGAACATGATAGAATAGTAATATTATGGTCTTTAAGTTATTTGGTAGCCAATCTAGAAGGTTGCTCTATAAGACTTAAGATCTCTTAATCACTATATTCTAATTGGAAAGACTGCTGATGCTAATAAAGTGATTAAATTGATTATTTCCATCATTCCTATGACTATCTCTACTCAAATAGTCAGACAGACTCTCAAGACAGCCCATCTTAAAGCTATAATCAAGAAAAACAGATTCCTCTGTCTCCAACCTATAGAAATAAAAGACAAGATGCTACTTTCAAGTACAAATATCGGACTGCTAATAGCTGAAAGAGGTTTATCTAGTTAGATAAGGTCAAAATCAATAGGATGAAATCATATGGCAACGAATTTATATTAAATTAAAATAGATAAGACAATCATTAAGATAAAGAAAAGTTAAATAAACACCTTAAGTTTCAAGACAAAACTTGATGGTATAGGACTATATGAGATAAAATGGAGTGGGAATCTTCTATGAAGCAAAGGGGAGGATGAATACAGAGTAGTAAATACTCATTTGACAGGAGTGTCTGCTAAGAAGCATGCAGAAGTTATGAGTTAATGAAGAAGATACTGTTTTGTGATAAGACAATGACCCTAAGTATACCTCTAAATAAGCCACCAATAGCTTGCAAACCATGATATTACTATTCTATCATGTTCAACATAGACCCAAGACATCAACCATATTGAATACCCCTGAGAATCACTCAAGAAATTACTTGTAGCATATCAAGATTCACTGTAGGGGCTATTCCAACTATGAGACAGTGTTACAGCAGAGTATGATGGAATCACCAAAGAGAAATACCCAAAATTGATAGAGAATATGTTTAGAAGAGTGGCAGAAGTGATTGGAGCAGAAGGAGGTCACACACAGTACTAGAATTATAGAGATTACATTAGTAAAACTCAAAGTCAAAAAAGTGTCCCAATGAGTCATCAAATTAAAATACTCATATCTTCACATAATGTCATTAGTTTCCCACGGTATAGGGAACCGAAATGAAGCTGAGATGAAGACCTTTCCGACATCTCCCTATAGCTTAGTCATATTCCCATGTCTCGACACATGATATAGCAATTACATGAAAAGCTACAAACATTGGGACACTTTTTTGAGCCACTGTACGATTCATGTCCTATATCGAGCAATGGCAAGATGTAGATAATTGTATGAGTAACTAGGTATAAGCATGAGCGATGATGTACGATAAGAAGCAATAACGTACTTTTGAGCATTGAGGATGATGCATAACCAGAGGAAGGCCAGAAAGTGTTCACCACGAAAGGTTGAATACTGCAAGGTCAGATGCAGGACCAAACTGGCGATCACCAGTGGAATAACTAAGCCCGCTCCCACTAGGAAGGTCAGACTGCATCCAAGCCTTGTAGATAAGGGCAGTCCAAAGTCAGCTGTGAAAATATCTGCAAAAACCAAGTGGTAGTAAGTGTAGAGAATGCTAAACTGAAGTACTAGTGACAATAGAGATCAGGACGTCATAATTATGATGGTGTAAGACGAACGAGTTTAATTTTGAAAGCCCACGAACTGTTTATTCTTGTTTGTTGTGAACATGTGATAATCAATTACTAATTACCTACTGATACAATCGCAACACTACTACTACTTCGGGTGATATTACAGCAAGTTCGATTCGCCGCACATCATTTCGCTGTCACCAATAATAAACATAAGATGGCTCATGTAATCCAATTGACTACTATTGGACCAGTTCCCACGAAGAGAAGAAAGGTTCTGGTAAGTTTCGTGATCAGCGGTGTTGTCTGTTTTATGTAGTCACAATCTCATTCACAGAATCAAGTCGAAGCCTGGTTAGACTTGGTAAGTGATGGGCGGGTTACTGCTGAGGCGCCTTACCTTAGTTATTCAGTGATCCGAACAATCGGCCGTAGTGCCTGGACCACCGCTAGGGCTCACCGTCCGCGTCAACCACCATCTCGTGGTGATCAAGAATATAGTTCTCCATGCTGTCAATAAGATGAAATCCACACTATGCATAAGTGCTATTGTTTTTATTCAAGCATTATTTTGACAAGCACACACCTAGGTATAAATGACTCAACACACCCTGCATCATCACTGTACAGTAGTAGCAGCACATATCGACGTGCACCATCAAACCAATTGTACATTATAATCTATCACAGTAGAACTACATTCACCACCATCATCCTTGATTCACATGATACTGTGATTTACTACATAGTCTCACTTGAGCTGATACCCTTAGGACATACAATTAATGCAATATTCCGATTAGGGGCCTTCCTATATTGTGATGCGATGAAATTAAGCGATAAACAATTTTCATTGGCTAATGATTGCTTGCAGACAATTTATGTAATCACCTCTCTGCCAACACTGTTCTGTACAGTCTACTGACTCTGCAGCGTGCTCATGAGGGCCTCTATCGCCTTCTCCACATCCTTTCTCAACCCTTCTAACACGAACGGCCACAGCACGCTATGCAACTGCCGGATGATTCCAAAGTTTGGAAAGGTTCGGTTGGGTGAGGCAACCGTTTGCCGATAATACTGAGTCTCTCTGATGACGCTCGATATTGATCGATATTCCAGACGGCTGGATAGATAGCATCTCAACAAAGGTATGTTTTCTTTCAAACTTCTGATATTGTCAGAGTCATCTCTCTAGAGTTCTAACTAGATTGTGAACATCATCGTTCACTTCCTTTCATCCGTTCCAATGTCCATACTGAAGTGGCCCATCATGAGGCCTACTGCACTAGCAAGGGACATACTTAACTCCAGCCCTATATATCTTTTGATTCGGTAAACTCTCTCTTACCCCCCAAACCAATACTTATGGAACTCTCAGGTCTCTTATCTTCCCAGTACTTTTACCTGCCTGGTAAGAAGGTAATGAACAATGGTATTTTTGTGCGACTCCTCTGTCCTTGGTACCCCAAATGCAATATATGGCATTTATGGGTATGCGAACATATCCTCACATTCATTGTCACTTTTTTCATAGGCAGTGTTGTCACCGTAAGTCTTTTCCCATTATATTATCCAGAGTGTCTCTCATATCTTTCATATAGCAGCCCAATTCCGCCTGAAAGATGCTCTTAGAAGGTGCGTCTTGACAGGAAGCAGTGCACAGCATTTCTGACTGCTACATTTCAGCATGCTCATTTTCTTGAACCTGGCATGATCCGCACCTTTGAGTTCGTCTCAAGTCTACAGCGGATGAGTGTTGTGGTTAAATGGCCCAGGAGCACCAGTATGGAGATCTATGTCAAAGGGGTCCCAGAGGTGATGTTGGAAATCTGCGAGGACTCTTGTTAGCTTCTAATTTTTCTCGTGATTCTTGTCACTGATTATTCTGCAGTTCCACAGAATTATGACGACCTGGTGTTCTATCATACAAGGTGTGGGTGTCGTGTCATTGCACCCTAGAGAAATTCTGCAGGGTCGGATGTTCCGTATGCCATGGTCTCCAGTGGGTATCACTACTGTCATTGTCTTTGGTGTTTGGATTGATGCTAGTTCTTGTGCAGACACAACTAATGGCACTGCCCACTTCCTTGAGCATATGACCTTCAAGGCACCAAACATCGCAACCAACACACATTGGAACTCGTACTATGCAAAGAACTTCAGAAAGGATGTTCCGGTCACTGTTGATATCATTTCAGATATTCTGCAAAATCCCAAATTGGAGACTGCAGCTATTGCGCCTACTTCCCCACAAATATTAACAGCTTCGTCGCCACCATCCCCGAAGAAGGCAAAGTTCCATCATGCACGACATCTCCTACCCCTCCTCCCCCAGAGATGCGCAAATCTGTGGGAGATGAAAAGTTTCACTTCTAATAATACAGAACACAGCAAACGACTCGTCAACCACTTCGCACGCGCAAGCACAAGAAGGGTGAGTCATGTTCATATCGGTTATTTTCTGGGCTAACAATGTAACAGATCTCTCTTCCAACCCTCATGCATCGTCTACAGACTTCCTGCGAGCGTGCCAAGCGGACTCTGTCACCGGCCAGCCAGACTTCCATTGAAATTGAGTCTCTCTTTGAGGGTCTCAACTTTTATTATACTTCCCTTACTCGTTCTTGTTTTGAGGAGTTGTGTGCGGACCTGTTCCGCAGCAAAGAGCATGCAGAGATGCTGGTTTGTCTTATCCAAATAACCGAGGAGTGTGTTTATAAGCATGTTGCGAGCGAGGCGTCAGTGGTGACCTCCATCGCTTACATTCTCACTGTGTGGAGCTTCTATGACCCTCATCCTGTAATGTCTATCTCCGTCATCACTGCACGTATTCTGACTTGATTTGTGTACAGCACTTGGACAGCCATAACTTCAGGAATGTGGTGGTTAGAATTCAACAAGCGAGATGTTAGATGTACTGCTAATCCTGACAAGACCATGTAGGCCGATTCTTCGTGTGAGTGGATTTCTATATCATGATCATTCACAAGGCTGCTGAACTGTCTATGATGGGAGCCATTGCAGGCATCTTGTCTGTCCTGGCAGGACTTGTGGCTACAATCATATTGCCGATGGTGGCAAGTGTGGTAATCGCGAAATGGGTTTGCGACGTGTACCAGCTGTCGTACGTGCTGCTACTTATTGTTGATTGAGATAATACTGACACATCCTACTCAGTGGTGTGGTACTCCAGCGCCTTATAGTTGATTTAACCCTTGTGTTGCAGACACTATCGTCACCTAACTAACTGAGACTCCGAAGGCAGACGATTGGGTAAGACAAAAACATTATTTGTTGGGTATCGAGCGCTACAAGCTCGATGACGGGAGGAGGGAAGGAAAAAAGATAACTTTGCAACCCACACAAACGGGGATGACTCCGAGACAGACATCACCACTCTCCGTCCTGCAAGGTCTCGGTCCTTTTCCCGGAAATCACTCAGTTCCAAGGTGAAAGAGCTACTTAATGAGTCCCTAAAAATGCCAACTCAAATCATGAAGCGCCTTCCCAATATACATGAAAATTTGTTCAGGCATCACCAACAATCGGAGTTGTATTTCTTCATGTATGCCCTCTTTGCTACTTGTTCGCCATCCCAGTCTATGAGAAGTATTCGCTAATTATATCCCTGGTCTCAGGGTCACAGCATTGTATCATTAATGTACTTATGTGTATAAATATCAATGTGTTACATACTCCATCGTGTGAACGACGCTTGGAAAGTTCAACATGGCCATGACGGTACGTTCAGTCATTCTTTTTGAAACTACATACTCTGATTGTCATGCCAGACCTCCAGTCTGGGTATGGACCAACGAACGGAGCTACTCAACCGCAGTGTTCCTATCTGGCCCACACAACTTCAGTGGTACACCGAAATGCTTCAGCCATAAGCTGCATACATTAAACATTGAGTCCCACTAACCTGATTCATATAGAATATCTCCACGTCACAATTATAACGTGCAGGCGATGCAAATTGACCCTGTCAGGTTTGTTATCGTAGTTCCTGGCAGTATCGATCTAACGGTAGTATCAACAGGCATGGAGAGAAAGGGGATTGGAGAGAGTCTATTCACCCATCGGGAGCAATGTATTACTACAATGGAAAAACGGTGGGTGCTGGCTGAAATTTTGGTGTGTTACATGCTTACTTAAAGCAGAGAACATACACTGAGATGAACCTAGGCACTTGTTCGGAGGCACAGCTCCGGAAGCTTGAGTCCTGGATTGATGTGTCAAGATCAAAGATAGATGGAAAGCAATGGCTCCTAGTCGTTGATCCAATGTTAGCGAGAGGGGAGGAGATCTACCCATACTATTATGTGGTCCCGGAAAGTCAGATCATTACTTGGGTTGAACCAATGGATGGTTACATTCTGTTCCAACAATGCATGGCAGCGAGGCACTGGAACCATAAAAGTACACTGATTTTTATTTTTATTTACTTTAGTTCTTAAACTTGATTCTGCAGGGCTCAAACTCAAAGCTCAATACTGGTGAGTAATCGGAACAAATTGACTTTCATGTTTCTCACTACACACTAGGAAACACATTGAATACTTTCCATGTGGGATGGCAATGCATGTCTCAGAAGTAAGAAGCTTATGGGTGAAGTTGAACTGGTACCGTGTAGGCGAGTTCTTTGACTTGGCAGCGCTCGATCAGAACGACTTAAGTAACTTACAGAAGCGCTGGCCATGGAGCAATCTACTGCCGCTAGCTTATTTTGGACTCTTGATCAAATGAAAGAAATGGCCATAGAGCTTGCCACTGCCGGTATGCAATCCCATCTCGGCCTACACATTTAAATTGATGGCCAAAGGATAGAGGCACTTGCAAGACCTAATGGGACGGTGGAGGAGCCAGGTGTTGCAATTTGCGGTGCGTGGGCCTTCGCAAAATAGACTATCGAACACTTATATTCTCACTTACTAACAGGCAAATTGTTGCATGTGATTCGTGCATTACCACTTTCTCATACTAGACGTCATTGATTGACGAGTCACAACAGGCCATCATGAATATCTAAATCACTACGGTCAACCCGAGGCTTGTTTGATTCGCACTCATTCCGTGGGCGAGATAAGTCCTCCATTGTGGTTCCAGATAAGAATGCTTACCTCTTCTCTGACAGGCAAGCGTCATTATGGCAGTAAATGCCAACATCCTTGCTATCCCAGGCTTAGGCTCACCCCTTGCAACAAAAATGTTGTGTTCTATTTCCTTTCTTCTGAGTGTGTACTGTATTGTCGGATGTACCATTGCGCAACACTTTGGCCAGAGATTGAGATCCCTTGACTTTGTGGTCCGATTGTATTTATTCCTTTAACCTTAGCCTGACATTATTGATTCGATAGGCGTACTACCTGCAAGGAAGGGTGGCAAGTCTTGTGATCCTCACAAGTATACCCAGTTTTCTATATTTGATGAGGTAACCGAATTGTTGCCCCGATCTCTATCGTCACTAGTACTCACAAACATTACAGTTTGGGATTCTCTACACTTGGTTTCCTTGCAGGCATCTTCACAGCTGACTTTGGACTGCCCTTATCTGCAAGGCTCAGATGTGGTTTGGCCTTCCTAGTGGGAGCGGGCCTAGTTATTCCACTGGTGATTGCCAGCCTTGGTCCTGGGCTGATTCGGAAATAAGGAATTTTTCTTTGATTTGGAAATCATATGTCTTATATTTCAGTTGAATAATATGTGAGAGTGTGCAAGTGTCAACCTGTGCGCGTGACTATCAATGAAATTGTAAGGGTTTTCTTGATGGTGAATGTCTGATATCCTTCGATCCAAGGCAAACTATTTCCTCGTCTCACTTCGGTGTTGTACATATGCTCAAACTCTACCAACTTCAGGCCTCCTTGTGCTCTGTCCATGCCTGGTTTTTTTTAGATGAGCCAGTGAATTCATACCTCGGGCCATTAAAATCCATTGATCTATCCTAAGTCTAATGCATCTTATTTTTCACCCGTACGCAGTGGAAACTCACAACCCAGTTTATCCCTGTGCTCAACATATATATTAAAATGGCCAAACCAGCCTTGCGGTGAGCACAAAGCGACAGAATTTTTCCGGATAGAGATGAAGTTGGTTGATTAAGTAAGCACACATGAGAACCATGCGAGACGCACGCGGGTGGACGACACTTCAAGGTCATCTTGAGATTATATATTGTAGATAACTTTTGCCAAGGGATTTACCTGGACTCATCATGGCTACGAGGAATGACAGTACCATATAAATATTATAAAGATATTATAATTTTTGGCAAGGTATTGACCTGGACCCATCACAACTGTGAGGAATGAGTATACCACATACATATTATGAATTTTGATGAGGGATTGGTGTCAATTGACCTGGAGACATCATAATTGTGGGCAATGACCATGTCACATCAATATTACAAGGATATTTGAAATCTTGGCAAGGGATTTACCTGGACACATCATAATTGTGAGCCATGATCTTACAGTGCAACTATTGTGAGGATATTGTAAGTCTTGATTACTGACTGGTTGCCATGCTAAACAGCTATCACAAGGTCAAGTCCAGACAACGGGTGACCACCATGTCGGAGAGATGCGAAACCTCTGTCATTTATTTATCTACCTGGTATCACAGTTGTGATACTTACATATCTTCATCAACATTAGAGTTGTCTCGCAATTTATTGGCATTATGCTGATGCTTATGTATGACTATGTCTTTGGATATAATGTGCGTATATTTGATATGATTTTGCCACAAATATCTATCTAAATCATCTCCTGCCTGATTCCATGATGCATGTGTGTGAAACATTGCTTTAAGTATTGTCTAAAGACTCCGAAACCTCTGAGACCCCTGCCACTGCCAACCTTATGTCCTCTGATCTAGCCTCGCGCCCATCCCTACTAACACAACGATTCAAGTAGTTTTGCAGCACGTTCTTCAACCCACATAGCACGTTCTTGGGGGGAAACATGAGATGGCGGGACAAGGTCATACATAGAGGGTGTGATACTGATGGCGATTTTCTTGAGGTCTGAGTGCCATGTCGATAGATCTTCAAACAGCTGAAATAAAAACAAGCACGTCAGATACAGGCATGCGACCAAAAACACAGACACACGAGCTTGGCCATCTCAGGCTTGTAATCAGGCCAAATATCTAATAGACGAGTGAGCAAGCTGTTTCAAGGGGAAAAGAAATACTCACTGCCTTCAACTTGTTGGCCGCTTTCGAGCCATTGTACAAGCGAAGCTGTAAGGATCTCAGGGATGGTTCCCAACAAGCCGTCAATGAAGGTCGGGAACAGATGTTCTATCGCGCACTGAACACGGCACTCTCCCTTTGTTTCCTCAAGGAACCTCTTTTCAATGAGGACCATACCATCCCAGCTGTGTAGCCTTAGGACCTTCACCTGTTATCTTGGCTGATACCTTACGAGCTTTGATATTCATATCACTCGGCTTGGAATCAGGAGGTTTGGTCTCAGCCTGACGCAAAAGATTGAGGATCGCAGGATCAGGCAGGCGGGGATGTCCATTTCGCTTGTGGTGAAGCTGTAGAACATCATCAGGAATATTCTCTGTGGGCTTCAAGGAAGAGAAGGTTAGCAGACTCCAGAAAAACAAATGATATATACCTGGATATTGTCATTGTCACTGGACGTGCCAGCTGCTAAATTCTTATCAGCCATGTTATCATCCTCATCGTGTGAGTGTTGAAATTCGAAATAAGTTGGAAGAGCAGTGGTGACCTGAGGTTGTGAGGGCTCAACTTCCTTTGAAAAACCTGTCTCATGCTCAGTGTGATCAAAATTGTGAGAGTGAATCACTTACCAGGATGTGCAGTAAGGTGCCCATGCGCTGCTCCCCATCTGACCTCCTGGCCTTCGACATCGCCTTCTTCTTCTTCCTCATCCTCCTCTTCATTGTCATCAGCGTGACCTCCATTGTCATCATTGTCATCAGTAGATGCCTCTGAACTTTTGGATCCGGTATATCCAGCTCCTGAACATACATCTCCAGCTGACAATAGAGCAGGGTCCAGGTTCTTGTGGAACGTAGTGTTAGGTTGCACACTTGACCTGGATTTTGAAGGTGCTGGTTGTGCCAAATCGTTGTTTCTGGAGGTGGCAGTGGGAAGAAGACGCCTGTTGAGATCCAAGGAAACTGACAGAGCACATTTTTCCCTAGTGGCCGCTACAAAGGGGTTATTAAGTGCTTGCAAGTTGGGCTCCGTGCCGGGAGGGATGATAGACTGTGCAAAGCCAAACCGGCCACCAAGTTGGCAGTGAGAAAAGGTGGGTTGCATATTCAATGTGTCCGCATCAGTAGTAGGAGTGAGAGTGTCATATCCCGTATTCCGGACCTACATCCAATAATATTCCCACGCCTCATCCGGACCTTCAGATGTCCTATCCATGTCTCCAGTACCCATCCGGATCCCTGCACCTCTGCACATCCACATCCGCATGTCCACGTCCAGATCCCTTATCCTTCGCAGCTAGCCTGCATCGTTCACCCTTGTCCCATTGCCCTAATATTATATCTTGCATATCCACGCATCTCATCCAGACCACATCCGATCCGGTCCAATCCGATCCTTTCTGATATATGATAAACTTCTTGATTCATTTCCTGTGCATATAACATTAACACAGCCTATCCGGTATGCTTACTGATCCATTAACCTATGTTCATTTCCGACTCATGTTTGTTAACCTTTGCATATGCTTCGTACATAGCCTCGGACTCTGCTTATTGATCCTTCCATTATTTCTCTTAGTATATAAACTCGTGTATATGTCTTGTAGTACCTCAGTCTGAATATCATATTAGTCCTCACACTAGTCTTCACTCTAAATCCTCTTATCAGTTCTAGTCCTTTGACTTAGTCAATATCCGTCTCAGGCCTAGGGAGGAATTCCCTAGGCCGGAGTTCCGATCCTCCGATCCTCCGCTCATCCACTTATCCACTTGTCTAACCTCTGAAGTTTCCGGAAGTCTATCCGGATCTTTCCCGCAGTCCTCCGGACCTGTTCAGCTTCGGACTTTGTCCTTGCAGCCTTTCCTCTGTTTGCTTCTACTCAGGACAAGTCCTGAGTAGCCATTACACATATCTGTATTAGGACGAAACCTCATTGTAATTTCCGGAAGTTCCTCCAGAACTTTCCCGCACTCATCCGGAAGTTACTTGCACCCATCCGGAAAGTCCTTCCGAAGTTTCCCGCGCCTTCGGACATCTTCGGACTTTCTTTCGGACACCAATCTGAAATTAAGGGCACATACTTGGGTAAGGGGCGCAGCACACGAGCTGAAGCCAAGCCCCTCAGAATCAGTCCTACCCTTTGTGCATGGTCTTAACAGAGAGCGTTCTTCATCACTTTACTGGTAACTTCCTTCCTCCCTGTTTTCGTAGAAGTCAACTGCTTAGCGGGGGGGGGGGGCGGATGTGGAGGGTTTGGTTTTGCAGGAGACTTCTCCCTTGCATTCCCAGTATCGAGCATCGATAGTCTGGGCAAGAGTTTTATATTCAGGAAGTGTAGTAGGTTTCCCTTGACGACTGATCTTGTCCTTGATGCGAGCCAGAAGTCCGTTGTAGAATTGACAGCACAAAGCTCCATTGCCCCAACCTCGGACTTGGGAAGCTAGCCGCTGGAACTCTACAACATACTTGTTGATGCACTGTCTGTCACGCATGTAGAGCTGTTCCAGCTGCATTTTCGCATCTCCGACCGGGTTGTGAGGTCCGAAGTTAGTTTGGAGTTCTAACATGAACTTGGAGTAGTCATCCATCCAGTCCAGATGATCCGCTAGATCATCTGAAAGGAGGTCCGGCTCAAACCATTCAAGGGCCATGTCTTTGAGGTATGATTGCATGAAGTTGACTTTAGTTCGGCTGGTACGGAAAGATTTTGGCTTAGCTTGAAAGTTAAGCTCACATTGGACAAAGAACACCCAGAGCTTCCAGGGCTCAGGGCCATCAAAGATATCTGTTTCTTGGACTTTGACTTTAGAGTCACTGGAGGAGGATGATTGGCGGTTCTTACACACCAGGTTATTGATAGCTTGAGATAGGCGGAGGAAGACCAAGTCTTGCAGAACTAGGCCTTCGTTTTCATCGTCATCCGGGTCGTCTGGAGGTTCATCATCTGGATCCCCCCCACCATCTCCGGGGCAGGTTACCGCCTAGAGGATACTCGTCGTCGGAATCATTGTGCAGAAGATTTCCGGTGGGTGTGAGTGTAGGGGTAGCCGAATGGGGATGGTTCATGAGTTGTGAAATACTGGAGGCAGTGCCTTGTGCACTGGTGCGGCGCTGAGAGCCACTGAGGAAGGCATCAACTATGGGAGTAGAGTCCCGTCGGGTGGTTACTAAACCTGCCATGTTGAGAATGGTCTGTGCCCGTGTAGGTGCCATAAAGATGTAAGTATACTTGGTAAGGTGTGAGTTCAAATATACTGTTAAGAACATGCTCAAGGGTCGAATCCGAAGGGCTTGGCTTCAGCTCATGTGCTGTGCCCCTTACCTGAGTACGTGTCCCTAACTTCTGAGGGCTGTTGAATGATGTCTGAAGGTTACCAGACAATGTCCAATGCACGGGATTTCTGGTGGACATTCAGGAACAAGAGATAAGACTAATCTGGACAAAGTCCGAACTAGAAAGGAAACAGCGGAGGACTACCAAAGGTAGAGGCGGAGGTGACAAGTCTTATAGGAATTAATCCTAAGATGAGCGGGGGGTCGACAAGAGGACAACTCGAGTCGGACGGAGGAGGGAATGAGCAGAGTCTAAGATAATATTCGAACTAAGGATGTACATAGATTTTACAGGGTTTATATACTACTAAGGATTTAACGGAGAGTAAGCCAGTGCAGTCCAAAGCTATGCGAGGCTGTGGATGGAAGGTATAGAAAAGTCAAACACTAGTCTACCAGAAAATAGTAAATGAACCCGGAGATTAGAACAGAGGAAAATAAAGGCGGAAATGAAATGAGGTACGGAAAATGATATAGTCTAACTGGAGTAGGAACATACAAAGGGATAAGGCACGGAAGCTGGATGCGGGTTGGATCCGGACATAGATAGACGTTGGCCAGATCTGGACATCTGGAAATGATATGTGTGATAAGTCTGGGTCTGGAACGCGGGATATGACACATATTCACTTTCGGACGGTTTTCATTATAAATTACTAGTAGTAGTACTATGATACTGAGATATGTCTGTACCCTAGTATGTTTGCTTTATAAACCTTAATTTTCTCAGACTTCCTAGTACCAGCTGGCTCACTGTGGCTTGCTGTTGTAGTACTACCTCGATCATGTATCACTGTACCGTCTGTAAATACACTACAAGATGCTGTAAGTCACTATAAATATATCGCTACACATCACTATGGCTGCCTGTGCTGCTGTAAGACGCTGTAAGATGATGTAAGATGATGTAATTGGCTATGGCAGCTGTGATAAATTCAGGGTTTTGCCGATGCACCTATTTGTTGGCCCTGGGCTATTAAAGCTTGTTAGTGATTTCCTATGCCCTTGAAATAGCTGTTATTTATTGGATAAGTTGAAAATTTTGATATCTTTGCTGACCACTTGACTCCAAAGTGCTTTAGTGGCATTGTAGGATCTAAATTTAGATTGAGATTACCAGAGTCAGTTTGAAGCAGCAACATCATATAAAAAATTAATCACACTGTCATGTGACTTGCTATTAGCATGCATGACCTGCTATTGATTGCTATTGATATGCTATGGCTATGACTTGTTATGTATTGCTATAACCTTCTATTAATTGTATCGGCTCACATGACTTATAATTGGTATGTATGACCTGCTATTAGCTTATATGATTTTCTATTAACTGCTATTGGTCTATGTGGATTGCTATTGGTTGCTACTGGCCCCTATGGCCTATTATTAGCCCACATGGTTTACTAATAATTGCTATTGGCTGCGTAGTTTGCTATTACTTGCTACTAGTGTATATAGTCTGCTATTAGCCTTCATAGTTTGCTATTGCTTGCTATTGGTGTGCATGACCTTCAATTAGCCTACATAGCTTGCTATTGATTGCTATTGGCCCATGTGGTTTGCTATTGCTTGCCTTTGGTGTACATAATCTTCTATTAGTTGGGCATGGCTTGCTATTGATTACCACTGGTATGCATGGCCTGATTGCTATTAGTGTGCATGATCTTGCTATTGATTGCTACTAGTGTGCATGACCTGCTATTGATATGTGTAGTTTGCTATTGATTGCTATTGGCACCTATGGCCTACTATTGATTGTTATTAGCCTGTGTGGCTTGCTATTAATTGCTACTGGTATGCATGGCCTTTGTTATTAGCCTGTGTGGCTTGCTATTAATTGCTACTGGTATACATGGCCTACTTTAGCCTCACTGTAGTACATAAAGTGAGCACCTAACCAATATAATGTGTTATGGTCTTGCATAGCCTAGTCTGTTCTTGCTTGTTAGATAAATGCATCCAACACAGGGGTTGCTAATCAGTAAAGACAAAAACATCAAGTCCATAGGAATGTGCCAGATTATGTCAGCAATATGATCTACCATAATTTTTGAATAGTTGTTACAAACTTGCTATTGACCTGCTATTGGTATTGCTTATTTGACTATCACTCTGTTATCGCTCCATTAGGATCTGACTAGGTCATTGAAGTTTGTTAGTGCACTACATCACTTACTCTAACTTGCATATGGATTGATATGACCTGCTATAGTCTGCTATGGCTTGCTATTGGCCTGCTATTGCTTGTCATGACATACTCCTATGATCTGCTATGGCTTGCCATTGGTCTGCTATTGCTTGTCATGACTTGCCCTATAATCTGCTATTATAGCCTGCTGAGGTGTCTTTATTACTTACTATATATGTGTATCTTACTATTGACTCACTACACTATAGACTGGTGTTGGCATATTTTGGCTTCACCATCAATAGCAATGCATAAAAGTACGAAAAATGTTCATGTGTTTGTGGGACCTGAAATATGGAAAAAAAAAATGACAATGAAACTGGACGTCACAGCATGGGAACTTAACACCATGAGAAAAAGAACATATGAGCATGGAGCCCTGGACAAGTGCCACAGATAGCAGCTGATAGCAATGAAGTCATGGCATAGCAGATTAATAATATTAAAAAGCTAATACAGGAGACTGAAACATGAAAAAAAATGGAAAAATGAAAATGGAGGCATGGGAACTTGACAGCACCAGATAAAAAACATATGGGCATAGAGCCCTGGATGAGTGCCATAGATAGCGGTCGATAGCATAGGAAAACCACAACTCGCTATGATCATGCACAAAATAATAACAGAGGACCAAACAATACTGATAAAAAAAATGAGAATGAAATGAGATTTCATAGTGTGGGAACTGGGACACTACAAGAAAACAATTATATGGACACAGCCCTGGCCCCCAAGTGCCATGAAATAGCAGCCAATAGCAGCAGAATGACATGACATGTGGTATAGGCTTTTTTCTGACTTTGCTATTCATTCCATTTATGACTCCGCCACGACACACTATGATCATGCACAGATATATGGACGGCGAGGCCATAAATGAAAGACTTCAAAAAGAGGCCAAAGGGCCAAGAAAAACATGAAAAATATGCAAAGCGTCGTGCGCTGGGGGACCAAAACACCGACCAAAAACCAGCGAACGAAATGGGATGTCATGGCGCGAGAACACGATAGCACGGGAAAGAAATCATATGGGCGGGAAGCCCCGGACGAGTGCCACGGATAGCGGGCGATAGCGCGGGAATAGCGAGACGCGCCGGGAGTGGGCCCCATGCTCCGTGGGTCAGAATATTATTGCCTCTTACTCAATGTAGAATGTGTACGCCTGTTTACCTTTTTATAGAGTTTGACATCTGTGAGAGATTTTTAATGGCGGCCTTCGGCCACCTGCTGCGGCACTAAAAATACTCTTAGGCTTATTAACGTTGATAACATTATTAGACATGATACGATACTTCTTATCTTCGATAAACCTTCGTACTCAGACACATACTCCTCTCGAATATGTGTGTCCCCCCCTATTTAACCAGCTAGAAAACTGATGAGAGTACCATACTCGAAATACCACCTCAGACTACCTAGTAGCCGGGGGTATTTTTTCTAGTTTACCTCTTCAGTTACTTGTGCACCCACCAGCGTTTTTATACCCTAACTAACCGTTCCTGTCCCTCATCCCCCTCCTATCGCACCAACGTGCGCACGTGCCTTCGGGCTATGACTCGTTCTGACTCGTGCCACCAATGTGGCTTTCCTTATCTTGTCTTATCTTTCCTTTGACTCGTGCATGCTACACATTGTATCATTTACCGTTGGCTCGTTCCAACGTTTCTCGGTCTCATTCCGCATTCGACCTTACATCACTAATCAGGCTCTGCCACCATCGTACCTATACCCTTTCCGTTTCCCCTTTGCCCTTACCTACAGTACGGTAGCCTTGCCCTTAACCCTTTCCACTTAGTATAAGTAGTCGGTCACTCTGTACTAGATTCCCTAACTTGAATCTACTCAATCTTTCCTCGAACATACTTCCCTCTGAAGCCCCCTCAGCTTCAGTCTCTAGTATCTTTTCTTAGGTGCTCATCGCGCCTAAGTCTACCTCGATCGACCACCTCATCGTTCGGACAAGACTGTCCTTACTTTGAGAACGTCAGTGACTTTGAAGACATCCGTCTTAGAAGTCACGTGACACGCGCGTCTCTGATATCTGCCGACTCGACGTCGCCAGTCTCAGTCGCTACACCGGACCCTTCCGGTTACGTCACGAACGTTAGTGGACGACGCCCCTCTTAGGGCTCCGCATAACAGATCTATTTGAGTGCGTAACAGGTTCCTGCCAACAGAATATGCTCATGTGTGAGAGCGATGGGGGCTGCAAATGTAGTACTTTGCTTTATGAAGTGTGGGGACATGGTATACTGGTGGTATACAAGAATGCAGCGCTTGGTGTAGGAAAGTAGTGTACGCTTGGAGAGGCGTTCAGCACAAGTTGTGGATATGGCTGCTATGAGGCTACAGATATGTCGGTCTCTACACTGCATTATGACAAACCACGCCGAGTAGGCAATACTGGTGGTACGACTATAAGCTTCTGAACTCGGTGTTTTGCGCCACAAGCATGACATGTTTTCCCACTTTGAGGGGCCTTTACCCTTGTAAGCATGCGACTCATTCCTACCATTTGCAAGCCATAAGAGATTTATTAGAGATCGCATCACGATACATGCCGTTGCGAGCTAGGAAAGTAAAATCCATTATGGTCGAGTGGTAAAGATGGGTCATCATATTGAGATCTTGAGTTCGATTCCTGCCATTGCCAATTTATATTTTTTGAATTTTGCACCATATTTCTGAGCATTATGACTGTATGCGGCTGGGAATGCGACGAGAAGATGACACAAGACCATGGATGGACAGAGCAAGACGAGGAGCACGACAAAGATATGAGGCCAAAATTTCCCGCGGTCTGATGAAAACGCGTCCATGATTTTCGAGTATTTTGCTCATATGTCGCCGGGATCTTGATGCGATGATGTCGTGAGACCATGGATGGAATGACATTGACAAGGAGCATGGCTTTGGACTGGGACAAAAAGTGATTAATAAGCGATGACAAAGGCACGACCCTCACTGAGACGGACGAAACGACCACCCTGAAAGCGACCCCCCCCCCAGTTTGAGAGGGGCAAAGCCACCCCCCCAACACGCCTGAAGCGGCGGGGACGTTTGCGGGAATGACCACCCTGAAAGCGACCCCCCCAACACGCCCCATGCGGAAGGAACGTTTGCGGGCCCCCGTCCGGGGAGTCCCCTCCCCATAGTGCGAGACCATGTGGTAGTATGGATTCTGAGAGGCGTCGCCCTGAAAATGCCTCGTCACAACTCAGATGTCGTTCCTTCAACTGCTATCCAATTTCACTAGTATTGTGGCTACAAGAGACACCATGCGAAATAAAGATTGAATTTGCTTTGTTGAGCTTGTGTTGCGCGATCACAAATGAAATACTGATATAAGTAAACGTGGGCCAAACCTGTGATGTTGACACTAAATTATATGACAACATTGCAACATTCGTGATCTGACAGTGCCTGCTTGTCGCCTTGTCGTGGGAGGGTATAAACACCGGTAGGAGTCTGCTTTGGCATTGGTTAGCCTCTGGGTGAGTGGACCTAAAGGAGCGATAATAGCGACAACAGGAGCAAGGAGAGGAGAAAGGGAGGCAATGATACCAGCGACAAGCGTGATAACGATCTCGAGGATAGAAGTAGCGTCGCAACCTAGGTCAGTGAGTATGGTGGAAACCTCTGCGCGGATGTCGATCTTCAGCACGGCAGAGAGCAGTGAAGAGAAGCTAAAGCGGAGGCTCGGCAGGAATGACCGGGTTGCATTACAAGATGCTTGCGCAGAGGTCACCAGCAATGAGCGCCGCGAGTTTAGCGACAGTCAACGAGACGGTGCCCTCAACAGGCGCAAGGATAACCGAAGAGTTTTGGCCAACGTTGAGAGACAGCACTGGTAAGCTGAGTTTTAATTTGAGCTACGCAACGACGGCATTGTCTGTAATAATGAAGGGTTAGGAGACGATAAGATATACTTCAGTCAATGCCTAATAATGATACTTATGAGCTGATCAGTCGATGGCTAGATCTGGCTGAAGACAGTAGTGAAGACCGCAGGATGGGAAGTTCAACCGCGGTGTTGTCCGAAGGACTGATCCATATCTCCCAACCTGGGAGATATCCGACTTGACAACATGTGCAGTGGAGCATGGATATGATTTCCGTGAGCAAATGGAATATTTGCACGAATATATATCCGCGGGACCGGGGACTGCGACACATCCGAAAATTTTACACGAAGCCTACGAAAGCATGATTTAGTTCGAGGCCTTTGCTCGTGTGTCAAAAAAACGAATGATGGTATTGGAAAATGTTTATGATGAAGCGTACATGGAGCGCGGACTAGTGATGATCACTCTAGCATCTAATGTTATCAGACTCTCAGGACTGTGATCCAAAACCTCCGATCATACAGCTATGCATCAGTTAATCAATGATATCGTCCTTCGATCATGGATCTGCGAAGCTTGAATATTGGATAGCCTTGCAGGTCGGCAACATACAGGAGCATCTAGGATTGTGGGACACGTGAATCTATGACCTTGGCGAGGCACGGGACTGTCACTGGAGGAGAGGAGTGAGGTGGTTGAACGGTGCCCTTGACTATTCAGGGAGTGCACAACTTGCGTCTGGTTGCAGGCAGGGCCTGCGCAGGTCTGTGCGTTGAACATGCTGTTGCCAGATTAGTACTTTGACCTATTAATGACTCCTGGTCCGGTAAACAGTCACAAATATCTTACTACAATAGTGACCTTGTTCACTGCTTGAAGGCCACGACTCATCTCGAACATATGCCTTCGCTGCCATCATTAGAGGCCTTTGCCAAGGTGCTTCCATATATCTTCACCATGTTCAGCAACCCTTAATCATAACACATTGTCCACAGGGAACCGCCGCTACCGTAGCTGGTGTTGCAACGCTAGGTCTGGCTCCTCCTAATTTATGATGCTGCTCAACTGAGCTTTATATATCTCATTAGGCTGCGGACTACTATATTACGGACAAAATTATCTCATTTACCCATCCGCATTCCCCCCGGGCTCTCGCATAGGTATATGTTTACTGGGCACTTCACATTCGACGCCAACGTAACTGGCCAAACTTTAACAGAGGTCCCGGTGCCCACGGATTTTGGACTTGAATACCAGGATTTACCCCTTGTCACTGAAGATAGGTTTACTTTACGGTGCTATCTTCTCATGCAACGGACAGAGATAAGCAACAGCCACGCTGCACACATCGATTACCCAGACCAACAGACGCATGAAGAGGTATGTCGCACTATCCCGATACTTCGCATTCATTCATTCACTTCTATTTGGTCGTCTGATACAAGTTTGCATCCACCCGACCGACAGTTTTGATGTTCCACGGTAATGGCGGCAATCACGGTCACCGGATACCTCTCGCAAAAGTATTCTACGTCAAAATGCGCTGCAATGTACTCATGCTCTCATACCGCGGGTGCGCCCTCTGTCTTTCGCAATCCAGTCTATTGGGGAATCCCTTACTCATTCTTACCAACAGATATGGTCATTCAGAGGGTTCTCCATCAGAATCAGGCGAGACACCGTATGTCCAGTAATCTACTCTTTGCTCACTGCATTTTCTAGGCATACGTATAGATGCTCAAACGGCCCTCGACTATCTTGCTTCGCACCCATATTTGAAAAACACTCCCGTCGTAAGTGTTGTTGACGCCACTTCCAAAGGATTGGGCTAACTTGCTTTTGTATTAAGATCCTTTACGGTCAGTCTATTGGTGGTGCTGTCGCTATTGACCTTGCAAGTCGAAATCCATCAAAGGCGATTAAATTCCAATTTGCTTCCATACCTATCATAATCTCAGACTGCAGATCACGGCGCTAATCCTGGAGAACACATTCACGAACCTCCCACGTCTCGTACCTAAAGTTCTTCCTCTTCTTAGCCCTCTTTCGTTTCTTTGCCATCAAAAATGGGACTCGGCTTCGAAAATACCTCTAATACCTCGGTCGATGCCGATCTTAATGCTGAGCGGTGTTAGAGATGAGGTTGTTCCACGCGAGCACATGCAAGAGTTATGGCAGATTGTTTCGCGGCGCCAGGGTACCAAATCTAGTGACACAGGAAACAAATCTGACATACCCGAAGTCGGTAATGGGAAATCGAGATTCCTTGAATTTGAAGGAGGACACCATAGTGCGTTCTTTTGATGATCTGAACCACCGGTTTAATGACGGTATTTAGATGATACGTGTGTCCAGCAAGGATATTGGACTGCGGTCACTGACTTCGTGACAAGTTTGAGCCGTTAGAAGCCCCTAACGCGGTGCTTCTTCTATCTGAATCCATACGAAGTGACATCATGATCACGGCGTTGGACTTTTTCTTCTTCTTTCTGTGTGTTCACACATTCCTTCACAAACATGCGTTCACTATTACATATCATTTCACCATGAAGAAAGCGACTAGTTTTTGTCCATCATTGTTGTAACGGGGGAAACAAAGGTCTAAATAATCGGTTTATCCTTCGTAGCGATACGCAACCAACGCTTCTATTCGGTGTACATCAGTGCTGAAGCTTCGCAACTTCACTTGCTGACTCTTGCTCGCCTCGATCGCCAGTGGATCAGTGTCGACCCACTCATCGGCAGGCACGTCAGCGGAGTCATGCGTGTATGCAAGGATATTGAAGACAGTCGGCGTGTCAATAATTGGGAGGAAGGTTACGGTTGATACGATTTGTTTGAGGATATAGCGAATCTCGGCTTGGATCTCTGATTCAGGCTTTGCAGGTATTCTTGTGAAGCAGGTCAACCAACTGAATGACATGAACAGCAGGAGACTTACGGTTCGGCAGAATCAGCTGGTTGTTCAACGAGGTTAACATCGAACACCCATCGCTCAAGTGGTAGTCTGGCATCTTTTGATATAATCGCAAGTACGAGCTGCGTTACCGACCCGGTAAGTAGCCATTCTGAAGTCCAGTTGAGTTAGAGTATAACGAATCGCGTGGCACCTACTATTGACTTGTTTCAGTATCCTTAAATGAAAGTAAGCAAGTGCACGAAAATAGATATCGAATGAGATGCACCTGTCAAGATAGTTCTCTAGTGCCAAGTCCTGAGTGACGAGGACAGTTTGCCCGTACTTCTTTACCATGTGAAAGTCATCCGACGGGTACACTCCACGTTGAAAGAGAATCCTGTGTCAATGCATGAAATCGTGAGTTGTTGAGTCGGAAAGTGGCTCGAAATAACGCACGTGTTGGCTGCATACTTGAAAAACTCTGTGACAAGATTTGTGGAGCCTTTTAAAGTGATGGCCTGGCGTGTTGGTGCTTGAGATGTTGCCATGCTGGCAGATGCTGCTGAACAATGGAGAGACTAATTCAGTAGCCGCTAAGTTGAACTTGAGCTTGATTGACGAACGTCACGCCCCTCCCGCGTGTTTCGACGCGAATAGATCACGTGGAATTGTTTGTTTCTAAGGCTCTTGCCAAACAAACGCGGTCGTATATAATATACCAAGTGTGGAGAAGCATTCGACTCCTTCTTCATTTCATATCGCAAAGCTTCGGATAATTCATCATTAGCACATAAAAATGCACGAAGTGGACCCAACCTCTCAATCGAATTATCTGCAGATCGCTACGAAGCATATCACCTTTGACTGGACAGTCGATTTTGACAACAAGGTCATCGCAGGCACCGCAACACATGAGCTAATTGCAAAAATTGATGAAGTATCTGAGGTAATGTGAGGACGATTGTTTATCTATCTATTCGGCACGGGTTTTGAGCTGTCTCAGCCTCGATACCTCGTATCTGCACATCGAGGGAGTAAAAGTTGATGGAGATGCGGTCCAAGACGTGCGCTCCGCGTCTCTTCACTGATGTGCTTCTCTGAGCTTGCATAATCTATAGTTCAGACTTGGTCCCAAGCATGAGGTGATGGGATCTGCGTTGCGTGTCCCCCTTCCTCGAACATTGAGTACCGGATCGAGTATCTTGGTCGAGATCACGTACAGGACGACTGCGAATGGCATAGCCTTGCAATTCCTTGAAAAAGAGTAAGCTTACCATATGTGCAATATCACTGTCGTTCACGTTTCTTCAGACAGACCCAGGGTAAAACCTTCCCATTCCTGTTCAGCCAGTGCCAACCCATTCACGCGCGAGACCTCGCTCCTGTGCAAGGTGAGAAGCCTTTATAATTTGATTCTGCGACTTAGACAAACACTTATGCACATGGATAAGATACTCCGTCCGTGAAGCTAGTGGGTGTTTTCCGCTGATTACCCCACTGCTTGTCGTGCTGATTTTCGATCATCAGACGTATAGCGCCAGTGTCCGTTCCGTACTTCCAGTTCTGCTATCTGCGAGACGGATTTCTCCGCCCTCAGATGGTCCAGCTCATGATGGCAAGATCATCGGCAAGGATGAAGTTGTATATACCTACGATCAGGCATGTCTCACCAACCTATCATTACAATTCCACTTCATGACAGATATTGGTGTCTTCAGCCTACTCCGATTCCATCATACCTTCTCGCGATCGCCGCCGGAAATTTACAGTACCAGTCATTCCAAGTTCCTGATGGAAAACAATGGAAGTCTGGGGTTTGGTCTGAACCTGAGCTTATGGACAAATCGTTCTGGGAGTTCAGCCGGGATACTACTAGGTAAATGCGCATGAGCTTTCGCTGAGCAAAAATGGAGTGTCATTGTATGCCAGATTTCTAGCGGCTGCAGAGAATCTTGCCGGGCCGTACCGATTTGGGGTTTATGACCTCCTTGTTCTTCCACCATCATTTCCTTATGGCGGCATGGTGAGCTACACGTTATTGCACACAACCACCTACTGATTACTGCTAGGAGAATCCGTGTTTGACCTTTGTAACACCTAGTGAGCATATTGCGTACCTGTATCAGACTGCTGACCCCCTTCAGCCCTTCTTGCTGGAGATAGGTCTCTGACAGATGTGGTGATCCATGAACTTACGCATTCATGGTTTGGAAATGGTGTTACGTCAGTTTTCTGCAGCTTTCTTGTTTACATTTGCTGATAGTACTCTAGGCATGCTCACGCTTCTCACTTCTGGCTTAACGAAGGCTGGACAACTTATGTCGAACGTGTGCTACTGCAGATTATACACTCACCTGCACACCGAGGCCTATCTTGTGTCATCGGATACAAAGCATTGCTGGATGCCCTTGCGTTCTTCGAAGACAAACCCAAATATCAAAAACTGGTTATCGACTTTAATTATGGAGAGGATCCCGATTCTGCATACAGTCGGGTGCCTTACGATAAAGGTGCCAATTTCCTCTTGCACATTGGTAGGTTGTATTTACTTTGTGAAAATGTCTACTGAGCTAGATTGTCCCAGAGCGTACGCTCGGTGGCCTTGCGGTCTTCCTACCCTATGTTAAGGACTATATCGCTACTTATATGGGTCACAGTATTACCACAGAGACATGGAAGAACCACCTCTATGCCTACTTCCAGAAGAATGGCAGCGAGGGACAGATCAAAGCATTGAACAGCATTAATTGGGATGTAAGGCCGGACAACTGATAGTTGAGGAAAGAACCACTGAAATTGTTCGACAGGCATGGCTTCATCAAAGTGGACTGCGTTTACCTGTTGAGATGGAATATGATTTGACTCTGGCGAATCCTGCAAATGCGCTTGCCGACCGGTGGTATGAATCACGGCGCACTACGGACATTTCGAAGCTAGATTTCAAGAGTTCTGATTTAGATAGCCTGGACGCTAATCAAAGAGGTGCGCGCCAACATGTTTTGTTGTTGGCATCAGTTGAGGAAGTAGGATTGCAGCTGTCTTCCTCGAACGATTGGAGAGTTACAATGAATCTCTTCCTGCGGGTCACCTTTTCCATTTCGATAAGTTGTACAGTTTCTCGACGACTCTCAGCGCCGAAATTCGATTCAGATTCTATACCTTGGTACTTAAGTCCCCGGCAGCGATGTATTTTGTTCAAGGAGCAGCAAATTGGGTTATTGGGGCGGATGACACAGGTGTCATCAAAGGTCGCATGAAATTTTGCAGACCTGTGTTTAGGGCGATGTTCAAGGTCGACCCTGACCTCACTATATCAACGTTCAGGCAGGCTCGGACGCAGTTTCATCCCATTGCACAGAGTCTCATTGCGCAGGTACGCATTCTGTTTTGTATGTCCGCATGTCCTTATCTTCAATCTATTAGGACCTTGGGCTGGATCTGACTGGACTGAGAGGTAGTGGATAAAGAAGAGTTGTAGCTGAGCAAAAAAAGCATATTCATTACTGTGCGGCTTGCGATCGCAATGGGATCCTGGCTAACCTATGTACTTATACTTGTTTGTATGTCAGCGTCTCGGATCAAGCAGCAAAAGATGACTGCCCAAACTTGGTTTGCTTGGACCCTGAGGCCTTGGCAGAGGTGGACCTGAAGCTTGGCAGTGCTTAAGTGGGCCTGAAGCTAACTTAAAGTGTTTCAAAATTTTAATATTACCGAGCGGGGGTTTCCAAGGGCGGTCGGACTCGGGTCGCACTGAAGTTCTGAACACTCAGTTGTCAATCATCTCTATTTTCACATTCTTTCGATACTGCATTCATGAAACTCACTGGCTTGAGATCTCATCTATCTTATGAATGGTTTGGCGTCTCGGCTCCCTTCGACCCAACTTGTAGGCTTGTGACATCCCCATTCTTTTCTCCTCTGAGTCTCGGCGCACTTCGTCTGCTGTTTGCTGTTTATTCGCTCGTTACAACAATCACCGTTCTCATTTTTGAGTCTGTTCGTTTCCACGACGTTCATAGGTAAGCAAACACCAGACTTGGCGTGGCTCAACGAGTGGTCTGATCCAGAACTTTGTGATTGGTCCTGCTACCCTAGTTTTTTTTCTTACTTCACCGATCTCAGTTACATCGGCCTTGTCGCATACTTCTGGGCATCCAGCGTTCAAACTATTGTATTTGTTTTGTCGGGACAGAAGGCATACCCTTTGCAAAAGTGGCCGCGGATCCTGCAGTTCCTGCATGTCCTCCTGTACACCACCATCACCATATTTCGTGAGTTCAATGTTTAGTTTCCCAGTCTAAGTCTGAGCAATTTTTTGCAGCAATCATCGTGACTGTTGTGTTTTGGTCTCTACTTGCTTCTCCATCGACTTTTAGCACCCGGTACTCAGGTGTGGACGGCGTTTCCTCATTGGCTGCTGTTGCTCATAATATGTTATTCCTAGCTTGGTCCAATGTATCCCAACATGCGATGAATTGTAGCTTCATTCTGTTTGAGATACTCCTAACGAATGCGGGTCCTAGTCCATGGAGCCACATCATACCATGTTTCGTCCTTTTTGCGTGTTACCTCGGTGTTGCGTATATAACATATGCAACGCAAGGATTCTACAGTAAGTTTATTTTTACATGAATCACAGCAGCGCTGACGCCCACCATTAGCTTACAGTTTCCTTGATCCATCTGTAGAGCACGGACGGTTAGCTGCTTACATCATCGGCATGGGTATTGGTTACTGCATTCTCTTCACGATCGTGAAGGGTGTCTGTACACTGCGGTGCCGTTTGGTCTCGCCTTCCCCTTTGGACCCCTCTGAACGAGTACAATCCGAAGCTATAGACGAGTGGGAGCACATTGATGTCGAACAGCCGAAGGAGTCAACTGGATCTGATGCTTAAGTATTTATTCTCCCTTTGTTTATTGTTATCTTCATGGATTGGACTGAATTGGCTGCTGGTAGTGGACTTTTTCTGGAACATTATGTTCGTCCTTGTACTACAATGTTGGTTATGTATTATTATGCGATCGGTTTCTTCCCCATGGGGTTGGCTTTCGCACACTGATGTCTCGTTGTCCCTTCGGGAACAGGATGCCGACGGTACCGGCTCACTTGCCAGCACTTATCACGAGCTCAATTCGCTCAGTATGATCGACTTATAGTCACGTACAATGTCCATGATTAGTATATTCTGGATGCTGACTATTTTAGAGTCTTCATTTTGCTCCGAGAGCACGGAAGGCATCCAAGCAAGATTCCGCGTTCTCACCAATCAAATCATGATCGCACGCAAGGCGTACGTTCTATCCCAGGCGCCAATAATAAACAATCAGGCGGCTTGAAGGTACATACTTGACGTGTGACTTGCGCGCTCTTGAACGTGAAATTTTAGGTCTGCCTTGATTTCTTGTGTCACGGGCATTCACTAATTACAACGAAGAAAAACCGAATGGTCGCTCTGGGGACGAAATATGACCCTCGTGATCTCATAGACCTGCTCGTGAGCGGTCCGTTGCGGCAACAAGTAGGTGTGCGCGGTCTTCGCTTGCCAGGGTCATTGCAGTGACCCTATGATACGATTTTCGCTAATCGGATATTCTGTGCAATATAAGACGACCTCGCGAACTTGCCATGTCAGTACTTCTGCTCCATGGCGTTTCTACAGGGTGTGAAGCTTGCGTTTACAGTATTGGCACTTGCCACGCCATCCTGGGCAATTGGTGTCGCACCTGGTCAGATCCGAAACTTTGTCACTTTTGGTGACTCCTACACTGATTCCTCGTACTACCCCTCCGCTGACGGAGGCTATTCCTGGCCAACATGGGCGGCAATGTATGGTGACCTTGATCTCTATGGATTTGCTCGTTCCGGTGCAACATGCTCGAACCTGCTTACTTACAGACCCTATCCTCCGATCATGGGTGAGTAAGCGCAAATGGTTTGTGATTGTTGTCCTGATCAAAGTGACCGCCCAGGTTGGCAATTCCCTGCTTACCTGAATGAGACGAGGAATGGCACGCTGGAATTGAACTCTAATGAGACAATATATACCATCTGGATTGGAACCAATGATTTGGGTGTCAACGCGCTGCTTACCGGTAGCGATGCCCCCACCACATCAATTGTCCAGGTCAGGCAATGCGCTGTCGATGTCCTAAATATCTTGTACGAGAGCGGTGCTAGGAACTTCATCATGCAGAACGTGAGTGTATGAACGTTGGGCCACTGTGTCTTAAGCTCATTTCGCACATACAGATGCTTCCCCTTGACTTGACAATCCTGTACTCTAATTACTCGTACCCCAACACTTACTGGAACTTAGAACGCAATACAACTGGATGGAACGTGCATATGACGGAGCTGGTACGTGCAGGGAATGAAATCACATCCCTCAAGCTCGACGCGCTTCTGCCTACGCTCCCTGATGCTCATATTGGTCGGTCAACATTACGATCTGTTTCGAGAGAACGACTGACCCATAGTAATGCAGCATCTTTTGACTCATACGGGCTTTTCACCGACATGTATAACAACCCTCAGAACTATTTTAATGGCACTGCGCCATACAACGTAACGGGCTGCATACATTCATGTGTGTACTCTATAGGCAACACGACAGCACCGGCTTGTACAATCACCAATGGTACTGACGCAGATAGCTTCATGTGGTCAGTCCAAAGACAGTTCCAAATAGCGACCTAGTGCTTACTTTCACTAGGTACGACGAACTTCACCCATCGCAGCAGTCCGCCAGAACCTTGGCTAGGGAGTTGACCGCGGTGATGAAGGGAGAGTACAACCAGTGGACGACGTGGTTGAGCTAAGCTAGTCACACCTGCAGAGTTTTGAAGATAGTGGATACAGCCTCAGAACAACTGGGGACAGCGGGGTCCTTTGATATTTCCCTTGATTATTTTTGGTTATCGATTTGGCGATTTTTCATCATGAGTGAAGTCAATTCTATGACCTATTCTTGAACTTCCGATTTTTACGGGATTCGGCATCTCAGCGAAGCACGTCAGAATTGCTAAATGGGCTTGCAGGTATCATCTGCTAGAACACGAGACCTGCCTAGACTGTATCAAGAAGCGCTCATTGGCAGATAAAAGGAGAAGAGCCAACTAAGTACACAACGAAAAAGGAATCGCTACATGGCTTTAAATTCTTTGGATTGGCTTGCGTACTTGTCGTTCATCTTCGTCCTGGGGGTGATAGGCCATCGCTTGCGTCACCAGAATAGATCCCAGTCGCTACCACCTGGCCCGCCGCAGAAACCATTGATAGGGAATTATCTCGACGTCCCCAAGGCGGAGCCATGGAAAATATTCTCGCAATGGGGAAAGCTATATGGTCTGTCCTTAAATGCTGTACCCTTGGAGGTATATTCAATAGTGCAAGCAGGCGACCTGGTATACGTAGAAGTTCTCGGGAACAAACTTCTCATCCTAAACGACATGGAAAGTATGCGCGAGCTTCTTGAGAAGAGATCGCAGAAGTATTCTGATAGGCCATCGTTTGTGATGGCCAAATATATGGGGATCGAGAACGTAAGCACATGCAATAGCGCGCTTCATGGCTGAAAACAAATCGACATTGGACAGAATCTGGCATTCGCTCCCTACGGTCCAGATTGGAGGCGAGGACGGAAGCTTGCACATGGAACTGTTAACCAGGAAGCCGTCCAGAAGTATCATTTGCTACAAGAGAATGTTGCCGCTAGATTTTTGAGAGACCTGGTGGAATGTCCTTCAGAAGTCATGAAGCACCTGCATATGTGAGATCAGCTGCGCATCAGCCCATGTTTCCCTCCTGACTTGGCATTACCAAGGGCCACGGCTCAAATCATCGCGTCCATAACCTATGGGTTTTCTATCGACACCCCAAGCAATGCGGTGAGTGAAATACTGGACAATGGCTCCAATCCTTTTCAACTGGGACTTGCAGTACTTTGACGAATTTGCCGAAACGGAGCGAATCGTCCTGAAAAGCGTGGTTCCGGGGGCCTATTTGGTTGATATGATTCCTCTATGTAAGGCTATTTTCACCATGGCAGACAATTAAGCTGAAGGTGATGCAGTATGGTATCTGCCATCCTGGGTCCCATTTAACAGCATACGGCGAACAGCTGAGAGAGGGCGGCAGCGGGTGTCTGATATCGTGCACCATCCGATGGAGCAAGTAGAACAGGATATGAAACATGGAACTTCTTCAGCTTCATTTGTTTCGGATCATCTAGGGAAAGGCGGGAGCGATAAAGTGATCAGACAGCAACTACCTTGGGTAGCGTGGTCAATATATGAAGGTATGTTTTTACCCCATTGACTGAAAAGAGGGATGACATCGTTATCCGACTTCAAGCTGGAAATGACACAGTAAACATTTCAAAATTTCATGACTGATATGCATTTATCTGACCGAGCAACAGACTAGTGGAACCATGCTGACCTTCATGCATGCTATGGCGTGTTTCCCAGAGGTCCAGACCCGCATGCGCGAGGAGATACACAGAGTCGTAGGGACTGATCGCCTGCCATCTTTCGATGACAGGGGACGGCTGCCATATATCAACGCAGCAATTAAGGAAGTGTACCGCTGGAAACCCAACTCACCTTTGGGCGCACCAAGGAAATTACAAGATGCGGATGTCTATAGAGGTTTTTTCAATCATAAACGGCCAGAAACACGTTTTGACCTCTTGAGCAGGGTACCACATACCGAAAGGCACTACTGTTATGCCTAATATATGGTGAGTAAGAAATATGTACCCACGGGATGTACTTATCCTTCAATATAGGTTACTCAGTCGGGACCAGGACAGTGGCATAGATCCCGAGGCATTTTCTCCAGAACGCTTTCTTGATACCCACGTAAAGAAAACAGCGATTGATCCTTACAGTTATGCTTTTGGCTTTGGAAGAAGGCAAGTGCGCGTTACAACACGTAATGAAACTCGTTGATAACCCACGCCCAGAATGTGCCCAGGGCGTTTTTTAGCAGATAATTCCGTGTTCATGCTTGTAACAAGTATAGTAGCGACCGTGCAGATTTCGATACCCAAGGATAGCCATGGCACGGAAAAGCCATTTGATCCTCCATATATACCCGCAGGTCTGGCCAGGTGCGTCCCAGTGAACAGTAAACAGGGGGATCACTCATGTATTTGCCGATTAAGTTTTCCTTATCCATTCGAAGTCGACATCGAACCGGTGTCTGACAAAGCAGTGGCTGTCGTGAAAGGTAGAGCGACGAGTATTGATTGAATATTCGCGTGTGTAAGGGGAGCGCGAAGGCTCTGATGGTACAACGTATGAGATCAGCCCTTATTGATGCATCGATGATGTATTAGCTTTCCTTAGATACAAGTGTCACAAACTTACGAGGATTCCTGATTTTAGCATATGCTTGCATATCTGAATCGTGCCAGTAAACTGCAACTTTTCCCACACGGAGCACGGAAGTCACGTTCTTGTGCAGCCCGTGACAGATCTACGGTTCCTCCAAAGTTCCAGTGCACTCGGACCACAAGGTATCCAGTTTCACATGAGCTGTGGGACATTGCAGCACATTTCGATATTTATGTATAGTAGTAGTACCAGTATCCTATTATAGTATCCTAGTATCCGAGTCAGTAGCACTAATTTCAAATCTAGAGCTGTTCAAGGCAAATTGGGAGTGCGTTCAATAACACCGCCCTTGTCCTGAGTTGAACCACGTTTTTGAGTTGGAACCCACTATCCTGTACCGTCACAAGAGCAGTAAGCTCTTAATAATTAGGCCCCACTCCAGATTTTGACTTTATCTCAAATCTGATCCGCCAGATCCTGAAAGAAAATGAATAGATCTCTTCATCTCTCCGAATCCTTCGTCATCAGTTGTGGCACAATCACCCTCGATATCGATCAATCTAAAGTCCTCGTCATCTACTTGAGAAAAACAGGCGAATATTGCCTTCCAAAGGGGAGAAAAGATGTGGGGGAACAGCTCGAAGCAACAGCCGTTCGCGAGACGTACGAAGAAACAGGATACATCGTTGAGCTACTACCCCTTCAGTTGACCACCCTTGCTACCCTCCACGGGAATGATGATGTCCGATCTGCGATACCTGGAGGGACAACAGAACCCGTCGCTGTGACGCAAAGGACGACTCAGGGTGTGCTGAAGATCATATTTTGGTATGCGGCACGAGGCGATTCTTGTGCCATACGCCAGATGTATACGACAAAACAAGAAGACGAGGATTTTGATGCCGTCTGGTGTCCAATGGATGAAGTAGTTCAGCTGTTGACATTCCACGATGACAAGACGATCACTGCAAGGGTCATCGAGGCAGCTCGTGGTGGGGGGAGTGGATCTAAGGTACATTGTGCCGTATTCATATAATATACTAATTCTGACGGAAGGCGCGCCTTCGGTGCGATCAGCGCCAGGAGTGAGCATGTAAATGATGCCCGCCGGAGGCAGTCGAGAGCATCAAAGGTACCTAGTGGCAGTAAGTCGTGAATGCTACAGCGACAATGCACTAACAAGGCGAAGCAGCCGGTCCATTGACCGATTTTCCAAACGTGTCGTCACTCCCTCTTCCCAGTAGCGGGCTTAACGCAAAGTACATCAACCCGTGTATAAAACAGACAGGACAAACGAACAAATATTCAATGATACCACCACATTAGCAAACCAGAAAGCTCGCAGACAGTTGAATGCCTGAACGATGCAGACTCTAACCACACCTTCAACTAAATGTCCGATTGTCTAGACAGTGCCGCAGTGCCAGTGATTTGAATACAAATTTGTGGTTTTACATGTCAGTGCAATGCTACACGGAGAACACGACTGTGAGACAAAGCAGACCCGAAAAATGTTCACCTTGAGAGGAACCCGACTCGGGAGTTTGTCGTATCGCGATTCGTAGTACACCGAGTAAAACCGCTTGCTATGGAAGAACAGTTCAGCAATTTTTTTCCCCAGAAAATGTGACTCGACGTACAGGAAACAGCAGCCGTTCGTGAAATCGTCAGAGAAGAACACTCCAAGTACTTACTTCCGGACTAATCGTTCCTTGGTTATGGCTGACTCAGCTCCGGCCTTTACCGGTTATGATCAGTTTCGGTTGGCAGTAGGTAGGCTCATAACCAATCTGTCCTGCAGAGAGATTCCGTCCTGCCTCAGGTGAATATGCTTCCTCTGACAATACCATCAAACTCTGACCCCTCGAGTCCCGCCTGCTCCTCGCCTCGTTCAATAATCTGTGTATCTACCACGTTAACCTCTCACCTAACTCGCGCCAGCTAGTTTACATGCATGGGTCGGATGTCCGGATATTCTAGAATCGAAATATTTTGAGACGATCGCCGTACGGATCGCCGGTCCAAACCCCGTCCTCAAACGCCGGTCATCCCATAAACGAGACGTCTCCAACGATCGAACCTCCACTCCCCTCACAAGCTCCCCCATCAGACGACGTACATGCCTTACCTAAACTCCTCTATCGATCCAACCAGCCTTGGTTTCCTCGCTATTCTCCTCGGAGGTAGCAGAGCACACTGCCTTCAAGTTCAATCCTTCCCTGAAGAGATCGATAGAGACTGGGACGGTCTGGGCATCCTTCAATCCAGAAGCAACATCGAGAGACTTATCGTCAATGACAAGCTTCGCGCAAGTCTCTGTTCCCTCCTTCATATAGTGAACGAAGAAGCCCCGGGAGATTCCTGGACGGTGATTACTTCCTGCTGCCTTCCATTAGTATACGCTAATTACCCATAGGATCTCGTTGATAACGATGTGGAAGAAGACACCTGGGATGTTATACGCTTCTCTGGTCGCGCCGCGGATGGTTCTAAACGTACTATCAAACTCTGGAGTCTGGATCACATCCTTCAGGCGTTAAACGATCCTGCCCCACATCTCATCAAGGTTGCTTCGTTCCGAAACGTGCCTTGCTGTCCTCGTTTCCATCCGAGATTGGGATGGACGGCTCTGGTTCATCAACCTCGGCGTGTAGCAGGGGGTTTATCCATATTACAAGATCGAGATATCTTCCTGTTGAAGGACCCATCGACAACGACAAAGTCTCTTCGGTATGCAGTCTTGGGAGTCACCTGCGATTTGCTCCTCACATCGGTTCTGCTGTTCCATACCTCCTCTCACCGATTTCTCGACCCCCCACGTAGTCGACTTCTAGTGAAGTGGCTTGGTCAAGACCCTCTCCTTAATCCCGACGCTCTAGACGAAGCAATCAAATCTATCTATAAGTCGGAGACGTATTATCCTACTCTTCGTAAAAATTTGGAGAATGAGATGCGTCGGTTAATTTGTCTCGGCGCAGGTGTCTCGCAAAAATTGGATTCCGAGGCCGATGACGACACCTCTATCCAGATATCGGGAACATTGTTGGTTACGGGTGAACATAATGACATACAAGGACCCTACAACCGATTCCTATTCGAAGCCCCTCCTACTTTCATCCAATCGAATGACAACACTTCCCTTATTCCCGTTATCACCAACCCACCGGACCTAGGTTCCGGAGAATTCGAGTTTACTTCCGAGGAGCTGACGAATCCCAGCCCCTTCTCTTCGAATTCACAATCATACTTCACGCATATTAGGACAAAAGGCGGCACTGAATGGACAAATGCCTTCGTCAAAGTGTCATCGGCGGCTTCCATAAAATGGGAGCGCAAGATGCTGCCTGTAATAAGCACTCGTATCTCCCCTGGCATGCTTCCAAATCTCTTGGCATACAATGCCGATCTCAATTCGCTTGTTATGACCAGACTTCCTGGGAAACCCTTGAATGACTTTCGTCTTGAATATGCGATGATGAGGAATTGTGAAGATCTAACTTTCAAGTCTTCGCGAGATGCCCTTCGCTGGTTTGTGGATATAGAGATTCGTCGTGCGCATGAATATGGCTTGCTGTACTCAGTCGGCAAGGACTTGGCCGACGCTCTAGAAGGACTAGACTCTCCAATACACAAGTTCTATTACGACCGTCTTCACAATGATGTCAGATTCACTAAACATTACTACCCAACCACCCCCGGGTTCAGCGGAGACAACGCAGTACAGTTTGATGATTTCATCGCTCTTCCTTGGAAAATAGATGGCGTGGAGTATCCCCCACTTCAGGAGTCCTTCAGGAAGGCAGAACGGATTCTCGATCCCCATGGTCAAGTTTTACCAAAACTGTGGGCCTGTTTGGGACTAGGAGATGGTCACGGAGGAAACGTGATGATTTCGCCGAAGAAACAGGATCCAGCGATTTATTTCATAGATTACGAAGCTGCTGGACATCATAGTCCTTTCTTAGATCTCGCGAAACCGCTTTACCTCGACGGGTTCTTCCCCGTTATGTATCACGATATCACTTCCACATCCTCCGACCCCACTTCTGAATGCGCTCCGGTTTCGTGGAGGATTGATGACGGCAAGGTTTGCATCGACTTGGATGCACCGCTGAGTGATCTGGACAAAGTCATATGTTTCATGAAGTTGGAATATACCCTTAAACCGCTTCTCGAGTACACTGCCTGGAATTTGGAAGAGCAGGTGGAGTCTGCCAAGAACGTTTTGTCAGCCGCTCTGTTATGCTGCGCGCTCTTGACGAGGGACTTCTCCCGACACCCCGATTCGTTCTTCTTGAACTGTGCTGTTGGTATCTTGCTGTATAACGACCTAAAAGGCTCACTCAAACGGTTCTGTGGGTGGGATAATTGGCCTTGCGTCGTGGAGACATCTATCAATGGTGAGCGTCGCTCATCTTTCTTTTAGCAGATTCTGAAGCGCAGCCAGACAAAGAACTAGCATTGTTCGGTGGTGGAGGCTTCTCTCTCACACCCGAGCAGTTTGATACTCAGCTCTTCAGCATTTTATTTAATCAAGCCGACCTTGAACCGGATTCGGTATTCCTTAAACGATTAGATGACACGCTGCTTTTGCATAAGAAGTTCTCGAAGGATTCCAACGAGTCCCCGGCTGTTGTCGTCCGAAGAATAGGTGATGCGCGGAGAACGGGGATTAGGGTAATGCACCGTTCGGAAGCATTTTGGCCTAGACTCACCGTGTTAGGTTGCCCCACATACTTGTATCCGTGAAAGCATCTTTGCGGAGCCCAGAATTGATCATCACTTCCAGTATCAGGAGGTGCAGGAGACCCGCCGCTCACGTCCATACAGAATGACTTTGGTTGATCTTGGATGTTGTATGGGAACTGATCTAAGGAAGTTGGTCTTGGATGGTTTCCCAGTACTGGTACGGCTCACTTGTCGAATCATGTGCTCGGATGCTTATTTAGATGCCCTAGGACATCATGGGGCTCGATATTGAGAACCGTGAGTTTCGTGTCTTTTACAAATTCTTTATTAATATGACGCTTAGGATTCTTTGACATCGGGCGTCTCATGTACAACGAAGGGGACACGCCTTCCATCAAGTTTAAGCAGACCGATGCCCTTGATCCTCTATTCTGTGAACGCAACGCCAGTTTAGAAAGCAAGTTCGATTTCGTGCACTCAGCAAATGTCGTACATCTCTTCCAGACTGAGGGGCAACTAGCATTCATACGGTCAATGGCCTGTCTAGCTAAACCTGGTGGACTTATGTGGGGTCGTCAAGTCGGGTTGGCCAATGGACCAGATGGTGCGAAGTACAAACACGAAGAAGGAAAGGGTACTCGGTTCACAGCTGACGAGTTTAAGGAGCTCATCTTGGATGCTACGGGATGGCGTGAAGAGGATATCATATATCGCTCTGAGTTGGTCGCGTACAGCGAGCTACGAATGGCGAAGCCTGACAAGAATTGGGTGCTACAGTGGTCAGTGAGGGTGCCCTTCGATAAAACGCCGGGAGCTCGTCGAATTACTGAGTTGGTTGAATAAATAATTGCACTACAGTTGATCATCGTTCAGCGAATAACCAGGTTTTTGCTCATTTGGTAGTGCTCGTGTAAGAAGTGAGGTTATATCCAGCGTGTACTGGCACGGTGTAGCCAACATTCAATGAGTTCCCCTCATATTCGCCACCTCAGAGCGCTCCCCACTAGAAAACCTTGGCCCAGCGTCAGCGGATAACAAGAGTCCAAACAAATATCTCACAGACTCCCAGCCCGCCCATAACTCTTTTGCCAACTATACTCCCCGGTGCACTAGGACGAGCCATTCTCAGGGCATAGATGCCAGTTGCAGCGAACGCGCCGCTTCCTATGATGCGACAAGACATGCAGTCATTGTACGATGAAACCTGAGGGACGAAGGTAGAGTCGGAGGCAGGTGCTGCGGAGCTGGTTGGGTTTGATTCAAGCGCGTTCATGCCCGCTCTAGTTGCGAAAGAAAAGTAGAAAGCAGCCTGAGCCAAGCCTGAGCAGGGAGCCTTCACGGAAGGACCCCGAAAACAGGGCCTATTGTTATGAACGTGAAGTCATGTAGAAAAGAGGGTATTATACTAATTACTAGCACATATATGAAAGATTGTATTAGCCTTTACAGAAGACATCGCGAAGTGCTTGTAATTGAAAGATGATAGATGGATAGATGTAACGAAAAGAGGGCTTTACCGCCGACGAACACAAGTCGCCCTGAAACTAATATTGCCTAAATGCATAACCCAGTATCTCCGAAAGGCGTCTTTGCATCAATTCGGGACACATGCAACCCTCAGTCCACCCATTGGCTGTCTTCGTGGGTTCGCTAAACATGGTAAAATCGTCCTCAGTATCCACTAGGTCATAGAAGACCAACGATGGGTCTTGGTTGTGAGGGTGTGATTGGTGGGGCGAAGCAGAGGACTGAGACGATGTGGTCCTGTCTGATACGGAAGGGATAGAACCACGATCGCTTTCGCGTCCGCTGCGCGAAGAAGGAACATGTCCATGTTTTGTTTTGCGATGGCGCGTCAGGGCGGAAGGGTCGTGTGTCCTGAAGGTGCAATCATGAGGACAGCCATACCGTTGCTCGCCAGTACTAAAATTGTTATTCAGATGAACTCGTTGATAGTAATGCACGAGTACTACGTACTGTCTGGCAGAGTGGATATCGAAGCTTCTTTTTATTATCGTCGCAAAGTGACATCCGGGAAAGGTGCAAGTGCGCGTGCTGAACGCGAGCTCATGTGAGTGACCAGTGTAGAATATAGGACAAACACTTACTTGTCTGCATGCCCAGCCTCATGCCTCTTGAATTCTTTAAACTTCGTAAAAGTTTCGCCGCACTTTGTCTGAGGGCAAACGTAGACCTGGACATTTCAGACTCAGACTCAGTACATGAAGTATGATCAAGCTCACCTTGGTAGGAGACATTTGAAACTTGATTATAGAGGAATATGAGTGGGGGTTCTACTTGACTTTGTCGCCTAATTCTCCTTGGGGTAACGATGATACCAGGTAGGCATTCAGGCAGGACTAACTATATATGATTCCTGGAGGTGGTAGTGACATTGTGCTTTGCGGTGGACAGAGGCTTCTTGGGTTCATACATAAACGCTTTGTTGGGGCTCTGGTGGACATTATGAGCCACGACAAAGCGCGAATGGATCATCAAAGCTTCCGCATCCGTTCGAAGGCTTCATTATGCGGTACACACAATCCTACGAAGAGATTATCATTAGCCAACACTGATCAATGTAATGCGTGATGATATGTGGATGCGGGGGGGACATACAGTCTGGGCAAGAGGTGAGGAAAACCTTAATTCCCAACATGCTCGTCATTATTAGTTTCGCACAGTACTGCTGTAATTCAAATTATTTGCCTCCAAGATCCAAAACCGCACAAAATCCGTATTCCAACAAGATCACCCCCACCTAAGTAAAGCACAGGTACAACACGACAAGTACTAAAACAACCCTGCCAGATCTGCAAACGGGTCCTTCCCTTGCTGCGTCGGTGGCGTCGAGGTAGGCTGCGTCTGTCCCATCATCGCACCCATACTCACCCTTGATCCGAGTGTGCTCATATGAATGCCCAAACCTCCACTCTGCACCGCACCCATGCCCGTCGCTGGTGGCCTACTCATACCCGATCCAGGAGAACCCATTCCCAACGACGAGCTTGAATTCAGAGGGATACTCGCACCTCCGTTGTTGCCCCCGAGATAACTGGGTGATGTTACCCGTGGTGGGGTAGGCGCGAGCATGATGGACCCGAACTGGGGCTGTGGCGAGGGGGCGTTTGGGACGGGCGATGATGTGGAGGAAGAAGCATTGTTCGTTAAAGAGGCGTTGGGTTGTGAGCCGAACATTGCGCTAGCACTTGATGGTCGGGCGTAAGATTGGGTTTGTGGCGGGGAGGTAAATAATGCAGCTAGATCATCTACTGGTGCGACGTATGATGATGAATGCGACGTGTCATCGAAATTAATGAGGGATCCCTCGGTTTGGGCGAGCTCAGCGGGTACGGCAGATATGCTATAGTCGCCTTTCTTGTAGGCCTCGAAGCGTGTGAGGACGTTGTTGATTCGATCGTTGATTTGGAGGAAGGCGTCTGAGTAACATATAAGACCCATGCCGGAGAATAGAGAAACGGACGCACCCAACGACTCTGGATCGTCTGTTTCTGCGTTCGAAACCCATTTCTGGAGTTTTGGACGGGCAGACTTCAATATCGACGCGACTTGCTGTTAGAACGAGTGAGGAAATTTTACAACTTTCCAAGAAATATCGACGCACGTCATACGCGTCTCCCGATGCGAACTTCTCTCCATGCGCAGTATCGACGTTATCGAGCATTTCATTGAGTAGAATGACTTTACTCTCGAGCTTATTGAGTTCTGTCATAGCTTGAGAACGATAGTCTGGCTTTGCTTCGGGGTTCGCGCCAGCAAGGGACTTCATAAGTTCTTGCGCGACTGCCAGGTCTCGCGGGGTACCTCTCCGAATAAGTTCCTGGAGTTTAGCAGATTGTGCTTCTCGATCTTCCGTCTCAAGCTCGTCAGCGGATTTAATGTTCTATACTGCCACATGAACATATGAGATAGACACAAGCCACAGACGAACTCACCATCGTCGGAGGTGCCTCGGCGTGGCGGGTAATCTCCCTAAAGCGATACCCTTTGAATGTAAGAAGCCGGTGCATATCTTTAATATTGCCCAAATCTTCCTTCCAGCGCGACTCAGAGCAGATACCTTCCTTCCATTGGTGAATGAGCTCTAGAATTCGTGACATGACTGGGCCAGGGAATGGAGGTGGGCGTTCAGGGAATCGACGAACGAGCTCGTTCAGGAATTCTTTGGTTGAGATCTGGAGGTGAAATGGGTAGCCGCACGATTGGACGAGGGTGTCAAGAAGCGCGAGTGCGAGTATGGCGATATGTGGGTTTCGGTGATTCGTTAGACGTGCTATGAGCATCGATGCATCGCGAGGGCTGATTCAATGTCAGAACTAGAGATTGTAAGAGCAGAATTGACAGACGTATTAGCTTTCTTGGTGTTGATCAATTCAGCGATCTCAAGGTGAACGGCATAGTTGGGCTCATGGAGTGTCGGATCGCAGGCATTTTGTACGAGCATTTCCAGCCTCGATGCCCTGAACCAAGGCGTACCGTTCGACCCTCCCAGCATCATGTTAGTGTTGCCTAGCTAGTGAGCAGTAAATAATCTAGCAGACGTGGCGGTCACAGCTGCGCTCGCTGTCGTGGACCCGTGGTCGCCTCGCGAAGATGTCCGTGGGAATATGTCAACATGCCCTGCTTGTGCCTTTTTACTCAAACCACCAGGCCAGGCATCAGTTATCTATCTAGTTCTATGACGTTCTGCTGCTTTCTGCTATTCACCGACAAGGGTCAACTCTGCTTGAAGCTCGACGCTCAGACTAACTGGCTGCAACGAACAGCTTGCGATAATGATGTCGGGCGAATGGACAGAGGGAACACCAATAGCTTGTGCTGGCACTGAACAGATCTAACGGACTGTAGTAAGGTTTCATTGGAAATATTGAATTATTGCTTGCGGTGCATTTACCCTCTTCTGAAGTTCGAGTCCTAGCCTACCGACAATGTCTATCATCAAGTATTATCCGAGCCTAGCTCTATGCCACTGCTGGACGGACATGTCCATAGCACAGAGTCTTCCTACAGCATTCGGGAAGGAAATGGACGTACTGTCTCAAGATCACTGTTGGTCTCCATACCCGATCGAGGATAAACGTTTAACTCGGAGCTGATAGAACTGTACTATTAATTGTTTGTGAAAGCACAATGCAGCGGATACCGCTATTTTTGACTCAGAACCTCGTGTGCGAATGACGTCCACACGGTCGTGCAATCATGAATACTAAAACCATACAAAAGTCAGCCAATCATAATAATACATAATCATTCCGCCGCTCTTCAGTGCTCAATTATAATGCTTCACCACAATCCCCTCGATGACCTCCTCCTCAACGCCCCGCTCCACCCCCTTCTTGAGATCAGACCTCCCATACGTCGTTGTCCTTCCCTTCCTCCACGTCTCGCACAATGGCGAATCGTCATCAAGACACTGGCGCTCAATACCACCGCGCTTTAACACAGGGCTTTCAGCACACGGTAGCAAACGAATGTCGTTGTCTGGCATCGCGAAATAGTATGCACCCAAACGGTCGTAGGCGCGTTGGTCCGAGGGGGGCTGGATGACACGGTGGATCGTAGGCTTGTAGTATCCGCCTGTAAAGAACGTCATCATGTCGCCTGTATTGATGACCTGGCGAAATATCAGGTTCGAGGTATCACTGTAGTTTTTCTATGGGCGTACCAAACTGTTATCAATGTGTCGGACCCATTTCCATTTACCGTCAGGAGCCATAATTTGCAGGCCTCCAATAGGCTGGCTCCATAGAATGGTGATGCTGCCGATGTCTGCGCGATTCAGGAGATGAGTTTGAAGTAAAAGAGGTTATCAAGTGTACCTGTGTGTCCCTTCAACCAGACATTCTTTGATTTCTCTTCTTCGTCATTCGAGCGCCTGTAGCTTGACGACAGTTCGTAAGTTAGGGAACGGTTGCGAAAGAAGGGCTTTTACTATTTCATGAACCTGACTGCGGATATGCTCATCGATATAAGACTGCATACATGAGAAGAAAGACTAACCGGAGGTTTCTCCCGTTCGGTCAAAATTGTGTTTTTCCACCAAAGTCTCCTCGGGCAGCTCGAGGCTTAACGCAATCAAGCTGTATAATGGTGCTCGTAAGCTAAAACGTCGAGAAGGGACTCGCGGTAGAACTGACCGGAGGATCGGATGGAGAATGTTGAAGTGATTATGACGAGCAAAATCATCGAGCTCTGGAAGGAACGGGCGCACGGCCGTGGGGTGGGGACGCTTTGTGACATTGAGGTTTACTACCAGGGGTAGGAAGCACGCATCCTACGAGTATTTGTAACACCTACTTGCGTAATGCTCAATCTGATCGAGAATTTGATTCTCCGTGTCGATTTTCTGAATGAGAGCAATAAGCCATGCTCATGATGTCCTTTGTAGAAACGACGGACCCAGAATTGACGAGGTTTATAACCTGCGTAGTACCCGACTTTTTCGACATCGGCAGTGTACATCTTCTTTTCATCCGGAGAGACGTTGTTAAAAGGAAGTCCAGCTATGTCGAAGATCCTGTCACGCTACAACATTGATTCAGAGACCTTTGAGTATGGGTGACGAGAATGGGCCGTACCTGACCCTGTGTATAACCATGATTGATAGCGTAGAGAAAGCCATGGGTGCGTAGTGCGTCTCGAAGCTGCGGATAGAGCTCTGCGCGTCCCTCGGGTGTATGCGCTTTGGAAAGGTCGATGATGGGAAGGTCCGCGAATTCCACTATATGGGGAGAAGTTATACAAATGTATTGCATTTATTGGACACTCTCTTACGGTCCTCTTTTGTTTCTGGAGGGGGAATGTAGTGTGGACACTCCGGCAGGGTTAAACTGGGCATATCTTGGATGGTTATCGGAGAAGATAGTAGCGTTCAATGCAAGTGCTAAGTAGATAATAAATACCTGGACTATGAACAGAAGGATCAAAATTTCACACCGAGATAAGCCATCTGAAATAGATGCGGCTTCGTGACTTATGTCATGAGTTCCATGAGGGCTCAGAGTACCTCGGCGTAGTATCGAATCCATTTTTGTCCCGCTGCTGAGGAGTCCAATGTAGTGAGGTAGTACAGCAAACTGAACAATTGACGACAGCACTACATGGAAGGAAACAGCAATAGATCATTGGTGTAATTAAGGATGAGTGAGCGAGATATGATTGATGATGTCATTACAGGGGGGCACGAGGGCACAGACGTGATAGTCATAATTAGACGGGAACGAGAAGAAGACCGGGGTAGGCAACGATGCACCGAGAATGAGTACCACCAAGACGAAACGATCTCGTGCTCCATAGTGGCCAAACTGATTCTCTAGGAGGCAAATTGAGAAGTGTTGGGACCCGAAGTCTCAGAAAAGACGCAGGGTTGAGTATAGGCGAACGGAAGATATGGCAGGGATTTGTCAGCGCGTGTCCCGAAACACGACGGTAGGGCACTGTGTGCATGACGCGAAGACCCCGCGCTCGTGTAGGATACGACGAACGTGGACGTTCGGAGGGGTCGTTCTCGGCGTGTCCGTCGTAGTCCTTCGTTGTCGTCGTCATCGTCGTTATCTTTGTCGTCGTCGTCGTCGTTGTCGTTGTCGTTGTCGTCCTCGTCGTTTCGTTGTCTTCATCTTGCAATAGTACTTGTTTGTTTGTTTGTTTGTTTGTTTGTTTGTTTGTTTCTGAGTTTGAGTCAGTCGCTTTTTGTTATTAATATTATGTCTCCTCTACCTGGCGTGCCAGGTGCTGACCTTCTAGCCTAAGGTCAGTCAGCCCAAAGTCAGCCAATGATAAGCCCGAACCCTTGGCCAGTGGCGGCTATACCCGGGTGCTACATAATAGGAAGTGTGCCGTGTGACCGATTCTATGTCAACTGATCAGCAGGTTCTTGTTGTAGGCCTTATAGATTAGCTAGCCAACAAGCCGGTCAGCAACTGCCTCATCGGAACGAGTCCACTAACGAGCCGCATCTTTCATGCGAGTCGTTCCCTCGCACCACCATGATTGTGCAGGAGAATGACGAGGAGGCACCACTTATGCAACAATCAGAGCAGCCAACGGTCAGGACACCTCTTCCCTGGGATCAATTTTGGATTCTACTGCTCTTGGAAATGCCAGATTTTCTTTCTTCTCGGACCATTGCCCCGTTTATTCCCCAAGTGAGTAGTACATTCCCCTCGTTGGACTTATATCTGACCACAACTGGACTTTGTCAAGCTCATTAGAGACATTGGAGTCACTCACGGAGACGAATCCCAGGTTGGACACTATGCCGGCATCCTTGTAAGCATGTCTTCATCGTTTTTGCCCTTTCGTTCGTCCATGATACTATTCTCTCCAGGAATCATCGTACTACGCAGCTCATACCCTGACCATTTTTCATTGGAGTCAACTGTCCGACCACATCGGGCGGAAGCCCGTAATACTGATAGCTCTATCAGCAATTGTTATTTCGATGTTTTCGTTTGGGCTGTCGAAGACCTTCCTTGGTCTGGTGGTCAGGTCAGCATGTCCAGTTGAATGTCAAATAATAGCTGTGATCATCAATTCCTGACATTCTCGACCAGTCGTATTGTCTGCGGAGCATTTGATCCGAGCGATACTGTGGTCAAGAGCATACTGATGGACATCACTGACGCAACCAATATGCCCAAGGCATATAGTTATATACCAATTTCGGTGATGATCGGAAACACAGTTGGGTAGGCATACAGTACATTTTCTCTCGTGCTGAGTTTCACAGAATCTATTAGACCACTCATTGGGGGATCGCTCTCTCGACCAGCAGACAGATTCCCTGACATCTTCGGGCGATCAGAACTCCTGAAAACCTACCCATATCTCCTGCCATGTTCTATCTCAGCAGTGTCTATATCAATAATTTGGCTAGTCACGTATATTCGTCTCAAAGAGGTGAGCGCCTAAAGACCCATCTTTGGATTACACTAAGTGTGGTTACAAGAGCGTCTCTACCGCTGGCAAAACACCGCTCTGGGAGCTAATTAAAAAAGGATTCCTCGGCCAATCATACTCGAGGCTGAGCAGCGTTATAGTTGATTCTGGGGAAGGAAGTCCTGGAGAAGTTCAACTAAAGCCGCTTCCGCTACGCGCCTTGCTAACCCCGAAAGTGTTGAGTGTGATAGCGAGTTATGCTACCATGGACCTGTTTCAAAAGGGGTTCAATTTGGTATTACCTGTTTTCTATGCAACACCGATTGAACTTGGTGGTCTTTCGCTTGACCCTCCTCGCATTGGTGTTTTACTTGCGGCATCAGATGTCATACATGGAATATTTCGGCTGCTTTTCTACACTCAATTACATGATCGCTTCGGTGCAAGAGCTATCTTTATCACCGGTGTTAGCTCCGGCATACCCATCGTCATTTTATTTCCTGTGACCAGTGCTCTGGCTCAGGCATATGGAATAGGTATGGCGGTGTGGCTGTGTGTTGTCAGTCCAGCTTGCGCTGAAGACTAGCCTGGTCCTATGCTTCCGTATGTTAATCTAGCACTTCCTGCGTTCTGTTGAACTGAAAAGAGCTCATAGCCTGCATGGCATTATTCATCAGAGCAGCTGCTCCCAATCGCGCCTCGCTCGGAACAACCAATGGAATCGTTATGGTGGTTGTCGCAGTAGCAAAGGTCATCGGCCCGGCATCTGCAGCTTCAGTCTTCTCCTATTCATTGCAAGAGGGGCATGATGCGTGGTCGATATACTACTTCTTTATCGCAATTGTATTTCTCGCTGTAGGTACTGCTCTATTGCTTCCCCATGATCCTAGTGTATGGGAAGATTCCCAATAATATCATCACGAATGACCGTGTACATTATGATCTAGTGTATGACTATACTTACCCTTGCAAGTGAATTGCATCGCAGATGAGCCAATATTTACGGCTAAATAATGTTGAAGTGATTATGGTGAGCAAAATCATCGAGCTCTAGAAGAAACGGGCGCAAGGCAATGGGATGAGGACGTCTTGTGACATTGAGGTTTACTGCCGAAGCGTAAAAAGTACCTATCACACGGGTATTTATAATACCTACCTACATAATTCTTGATCTGATCGAAAATTTCATTGTCCGAGTTGACTTTCTGAATGAGAGCAATAGCTTTGTTTTTTGTGGAATATAACGCACCCAGGATTGACGGGATCTATAACCTAAATAAGAGCCGACTCTCTCGATACTGGCGGTGTGTATCTTCTTTTCTTCCGGAGAGACTTCATCAAAAGGCACACCAGCTATGTCGAAGATCCTGTCACGCTACAACATTGATTCAGAGACCTCGAGTGACAAGAACGAGTGGTACCTGAGCTTGGGTATCACCATGATTGATGGCGTAGAGAAAGCCATGGGTACGTAGTGCGTCTCGAAGCTGCGGGTAGAGCTCTGCGCGTCCCTCGGGTGTATGCGCTTTGGAAAGGTTGATGGTGGGAAGGTCCGCATATTCCACTATAGGGGGGTCGTTGGACAAGCATATTGTATTTATCGGACACTCCTACAGTCCTCCTTTGTTTCTGGAGGGTGGGTGTAGGGTGCACATTCTGGCAGGATCAAACCGGGCATGTCTTAGATGGTTATGAGAGAGGAGAGTACACTGAGGGGGTAAGGCAGGTTGATAAATACCTGCGCTACGGGTTCTGGAAGACAAGAGGACTATATAAGCGATCTGAAATATATGTGACGCCGTGGGGGGTTCCATGTAGTGTTGCTGGCAGAACTTGGGAGTTTTACCGAGCGTTCTGGTAAGCTGGCTGTGCGGCCCAGATTTGTGGCCATAACTATTTTGAAGTAGTTCTCCTTGCCGAACCTGGAAGAAACACATTCTGCCAGTGTGGCAGGTACTAAAATTTCTTGATAACACTCAAACTGCGTTACATTGATATGAGACCACCGGATAGCGACTCCACAGCAGAACTCATGCGAAGGGAGGTTGATAGAACCTAACAGGACGCCAGGGTACCCGAAACCCACAGAGATCTAGTTTGATCTGATAGCAGAGTTCGAATTCAATAGGACATGAAAATGGACGTCCCTAAAGTAAGATGGTGCATGCTGGCGGACGCCATCACTGGTCATTGATCAACGACAATTTTGACATCGTTGTTGAGACTACACAGGATCTTGGTTCACCCTTCGCATGGGCACCTCCGCTCTCGACAGAGTCTCGTGATGCAGACGACGTTCTTGCTAGTCTAGATAGTATCTCGCCTGACGATATCGCTGTTAAGTTTGCGGGTCACGAGGATGAAAAGGATGAGAGCTTTGGTGGAGTTGAAGTGCTCGAGGAAATGTTTTTGATTTTGGCGATTTGGATCGGGTTGAACGTGGAATAATTCCACAGGCCATTCTAGATGGAGTCGAGGTAAGTTAGTTACAATGGCGAGGATGACAGATGCGGACGAGGCAACACTGATGTCGTTGTTAGAAATGTTATACACATCATGATAGTCTAGTTCTGCCGCCCCGGAAAACGACCAGTTTTTCTGGCAGCTCTGCTCCTTATACTAGCTCCATGGGAGTGCTTTGGCGTATCGGCTTCAGAACATCACTCGCTGATGAGTCCAATGTGAGTAGGGAACGCCTCTGAACAAGGTGAAAAATTTGACGGCAGCACTACACGGAGTGAAAAAGGAATAATTTATTGGTGCAATTGGGGTATGGTTGACGATGAGTAGGGAGCGGGAAGAGGATCGAGATGTTGATGTGACGACGAAAAGGATCCCGGAATAGTGGCCAATCAGATTCCTGGTTGAACTGCAGTTGAGAATATGATCGAGCGTCTAATTTTAATAAACCGCAGTTCGGCGGCTACACGATTCTCGGTTCGGAGTCAGTACTCGAGCTGTCCCTTCGGATTTCTTATATCCCCACCATGCTTCGATTTCACCCCCCATGTCTTTTCTCCTTTATACAGGGCGTCTTCTCAGAAGACTAAATGTCCACCACTTCATATCTCGAATCCTTCTCCCAATAAAACGCAATCCTATCCTCCTTTCCTTCTCCATCTTCCTCGCGATTTACATCGCAACAGAAATAATATTCTCTATATCATTTTTCGCCGCTCTCACTGGATGGCTACCTGCTTTCCCTGCGACATGGAGATTCTTACTCATGCTCCTCTTCGTAGTGCCCACATTCGCCTTCGTTCAATTGTCCCGACTTTTACTTCCACTACTCTCAAGCAGATGGGATGGAGACTTGACTATTTCCCAGCAAGGATATGCCATGCTCCAGCGACGCCCTATCGACTACCCATTCGACGTTACCGACGAGGAACACGCGTTGCTGGAAACAACCGAAGAAGGTAGTGAGCGCTCTTCTAGACCGGTGTCTCCGACTGCGCATCTGGTGGCGCATCAGTTTCATAAATCATGGTGGATACAGCTTCTGACTTATACTATCCTATTTTGTGCGAGCACCTGGGTCGGAGCCCATTATGAACAGCCGGGCGACGTGCGTTACAGAGATGCAGTCCAGTCCGCCGTTGCACATCCGTTAAGACAAGGGTACGGGAAACAAGGCAAGCTTCTTCGAATCTGTCGATACGAAAGTAGCTCATCCATTTTTAGAGAAAATTTTCATCGCTGCGTTATTCTTCAACAATGAACTAGTCATACCCTACTGGCACAACTCTCTCGTCCAAGCTATACATTATCTCGGTCCAGACAACGTCTTCGTCTCGATCGTCGAGAGTCACAGTACTGATGCCTCGCCTAAGCTTCTTCAAGAACTGGATGCAGACCTTGCACTCATGGGCGTGTCGCGGCGCATAATTACAGAAGACGAGACTATATCCAGACCTGACTATTTGGGCGGGAGGGAGCGCATCGAATTCTTAGCCGCAACTCGTAACCGCGCACTTGAGCCCCTAATGGAAGGAGGATACGATAAAGTTGTCTTCTCGAATGACATATTTATTGAACCCGAGACCTTGGTAGAGTTATTGGAGACGAATAGTGGTGACTATGACATGGCATGCGGTCTGGACTTTGGGCATTTCGGGTACGCTCGTCTAGTTCCTCCATTTTCATCATTCTAATCTCTCAAAGCGCATACGATATGTGGGTCCTCCGAGATCGACAGGCAAAACTCACCAGTGGAATGTGAGTGCGAATTTCATGTCGATGAAAGCATGTCTAATTTGACTTGAAGATGGCCATATTTCTTCGACGAAGCAGACTATCGCGCGATGCAGACAGACTCTCCCGTGCCTGTATTTTCCTGCTGGAACGGTGTCGTCGTCTTCGCCGCAGATCCTCTCATTCCCATACCTTTGCGATCCAACCGCACGCTTTCTACTGACCCTTTACCATACGAATTACCCTCGACACACCCAGCAACACAATATCCCTCCATGCGTGGTCCTAGTCCCGCTCTGACACCCCCAATACAGTTCCGCGCATCTGCCCTAGGAGAATGTTTCTCGTCAGAAAGCTTTTTGCTCCCATACGACCTGAGACGACAATTCAATCTGCAGCGCATATATGTAAACCCGAGGGTAATCACTGCGTACAAATGGAGGTATGTCCCCCATCGATGTTGTTGGAACCGTGGCTTATACATCATCATTGCATAGATATTATGCATACTTCAAATGGTTCATGCGCCATCCCGCACTCCGGTGGTGGATCGAAAAGGTGTACAATGGAGCATGGATGGCGAGAACTGTCTTTGTTGTGGGCGATGCCACTCAGGTGTACCGATGGGACGGGGGGGATTGTCATCCGTGGTTTTGAGTTTGCAGAACCGTCATGAGATTACGATTTGGACACATCACTTATGTGACTGCACATATGGTATCACCTAGGAGCGCTGCAGTATCACTGTCTGCGTTGGATATAATTCTTATTAATACATTTCGTAGACCACTCAAGGATGGACTCGTGTCTCCTACTCATCCCCATCCTAAATAGGAGATCTGGTGGAGAGACTTCTATGCACGGGACGTCAACAAAGTTGTGAGGCTCTGTTAGTTTTGATCTAGTTGCTTCTGAGAACGTGGCCATAGTATTGTTGTGCTTACAAGCCGCGTCGGAATTATGTAAAATAGGACCGCAGTGTCACAACGTTGCAACGTTGATGCCCGGGTGCGGTTATCGGAGGTTCAAACGTTCAAGTTCGTGGTTTGACATAGCTTGCAACTCATATGCATGATCAGTTAAGCAGTTCTTGCAGGTTCTTGGCCTTGTTGGCGCTGACTGCTCTGCTTTCATATGGTCATAGCTTGCTTCATTATTCCAATGTAACGAAAATCTTTCTTATATATGACAATCTCACCGGTTCTCATGGACAGCACTATGTTCTTCCTTTTTGGGGACTGGCCTTCAAGAGCGTTCCTGTAATATCGGTAGATTGATACCCGCGTGTGCACGGTTGCATTGCCTACATAAACGACGACTCGAATAATAGAAGGGGGAAAGGGAGCCAGGTGTAAGTCTTGATATCTCGATAGCCTTACTGACTTTGGGAAGAAGCAGCATGGTACATGTGGCACACCGTCTAGTAGCCTAATCTGAAAATCCAACATCCAAAACGAGCCTTTGAGCGCACGTCTATGATTAGGCGCCGGCCTGCACGGTGAATCGGACTATGGTTGATAGTCGGGACGGTTTCCATCGCGTCGCGGTGACGAGACATACAACGAGGTATTTGAGGGGTCCTTTCAGTGCAATAAATGACCCATGCGCTTCCCCTGTGCGACCTAATCTGACCTGCCACGTCTGCCTGGCCTGATATAAATCGGGAATCTTTTCCTTAAGTCATATTTTTTCTCCTGGACTAATAATTGTACGATGAGACATATTCTGGCAGGTTTGGTGCTCTCGGGCACGCTTGTCACGGTTGCCCGTGCGTGGGGTGGACAACTTACTAACATCCATGGTGTTAATTTGGGCTCATGGTGAGCGTTACTCTATGCCTCCGACCGACTGTTCAACTTAAGTGGTAGCCTAGGTTGCTCCTAGAGCCATGGATGCTTCCTCAAGGTGATAAACCAACGAACTGCAAATGCGCGTTCACTGAAAAGTCTTTCTAGGGTGGTTGAATATGGGTGGACAGTCATGTGCTGATTGTTCGAAATGCATTGCATCCGAGTCGTAAGTTCCAATTCTACACTGTTTGCATGTGAAATTTAGTTTGATCTGCGATCAAATAGGTCGTTTGCAAAGGCGTATCCCGACACCGTCGATGCTACATTCGCTCAACACTGGGACACATGGTTTACGCAGGACGATGTCAATACGCTGAAGGAGGCCGGTATTAACACCGTCAGGGTTCCTGTGAGTCAATTCCAAGGTCACTGCGAACTTTGTCAGACTAACGTTGCACGGTTTGATCTGCTCTGTTTTATCTCATCCTGTATAAACTTCCATGTGCTATGCATTGCGCCCGTTCATAGCTGGGATATTGGATTGTGGAGGCCTTGGTCGATAGGTCGCATGAATCATACCCTCGGGGCGGTCTCGAGTATTTGGTTAGAAGCTCTGCTATAGTTTAATTCTCTTGTTAAACTTGAGCGTGTAGCGTCGGGGCTTGGGCTGGCTGCAAGATGCCGGGATCCAAGCGATCCTGGATCATCACGCATTACCCGGGGTTCAAACAGCTGGGCAAATGTTCACCGGAAAGTAAGTTCCCGTTTGGTTCCTATCTGTTCTGTGCTGAAATTATTTTTACCAGTTGCACTTCCGATGTTCAATTCTACGTGAGTCATTTCGCAGCTGGTAAAAACATCAAATACAAATCCTTACACAGACTCCATACAACTACCACCGTGCACTGGTGTGGACAGCGGTCATGACTGCGCTTTCTCACCTGGACCCTACTTTTGGAAGTGTCTTTGCGATCGAGGCAATCAATGAACCCATTATGAACGCGACCCTGACACCCGGCTATGGCAACTGTATGTATCATTCGTCATCAATTCTTTTATTTGTGCCCTCATGGTTACTGAACCTCTGTACAGTCCAAAAGAACTTTGTTCAGGTAATCCGTGCAGTTGAGCTCGTACTCGGAATATTTGTGCCGTCATCCGGTTTATCGCTATCAGTTTCACCGTCCGTCTCGAACAACTTCACGGCTGCATTGAGTGCGACATCTTCAGAAACCATATTCCCGTTGGAGGTGCAAACGGCACTTTTAGAAGCCGTTCCGATTTTACTAGAAATTGGAATAGCGTTCGGTTTGCAGACCATATTCGAAGCATCAGCCTTCCATCAGTCCCGTCCTTCATTGGTGGCCAAGTAGTTTACCCTGAGTCCTGGCTAGGATACATTGACGATGGCATGCATAGCTTCATGGATGTGAACTGGCAGTACGATAACCCCTCTAATCCAGCTGACGCGGCGATTGGCCCCCAAGCTTACGACAACCATTTGTATTACTCGTGAGTACGCGGTTGACTACATCAAGTTCTCATGGTTTCTTTAATTTTCTTTCTACAGGTTTGGTGTACGTCACGTGCACGTAGCTCATTGCTTCGTATTAACAAATATATAGGGAGTTGCGGCTGCTGACCCGAAGTCTTACCTGATCAGTATCTGCAGTGTGTCTTCTTCGTCCGTTCGGAAATGATGTGCTCATTTTTGGTAAAGATCTTACACGTATCCAGGCCGATGCAGCGGTCGGCAATTCTCCACTCTGGTTCGGAGAGTGGGGACTTTCGACGCAGTTCAATGCCACGGACGAGTTCCTGTACAAGTGGGCTGACGCACAGAAGTTGGCCTATAGTAAAGGCGCCGGATGGATTGTACGTGTCCCGTTGCATTTGATCAAGATGTTTGCTCAAAGATGATTACTTCAGTACTGGAACTTCAAAACCGAGATATCAACCCTCACCAATGGGAGTGCACTCGCAAGGCAATGGTGAGTCAAGCGCATCCTAGGGTGCTTTACGAAAGATCTGACGGCCGTCTATGTAGGTCTTACCTTGAGGGGTTAAAACTCGGATTCTTGACCCAGGACCCTGCGGCGTACCACGATCCGGACGTGTGCGGTCCATACATAAACAGCACCACTCACAGCGCAAGTTCATGATGCGCGTTCTTGGTACCTAATAAGCGAGGGCGCAGAGCGCACCTATATCGATCCCTGCTGACCCACCATCCTTTTGTCGACATTCCTTACTGATTCTTTAGAATGATCGGTGCTAGTTTTCCTAGGTTTGCTATTCTAACAAAATTGATCTCAGTTAGACCTAAACTCACTAGTCTAGTACAAACCATAGGAAACTAGCGCGAATTTGTCTATATTATAATCGATTATTTTGTGGCGAAGTTGAGACTTATACGTGTGAAGTTCATAATTACAAGGCGACTCCGAGTCAACGATTCGGCCTATGTAGCAGCTCTCGTCTACATTCTTCGATATCGGCGGTCAAAATATTGTAAGACATATATAGCCTAACATGCATGCAGATATTTTACATATGTTCATCGGAATTTGCCGATGTGCTGTCATGACTTGTGGTCATGGTACCGTGAAACTTGGAAGAGCATGATATCACATTTATGTAAAGATCATTCCGGGCCATTCCACCCAATCGGATTCCCTTCTGGAGCGGTCCAGAGACGAGCGGATCGCGTGCGCACTTGCAGGGTCTCCATATATTGAATTTCAACCGGCTCCATCTCGATTCTTGTCGCCTCACCTCAAGCTACAGCGTGACCATGAAGCCAAATTGCTAATGCTACTGAAACCTGGGCTGTCCGACCGCGTCACTACTAGCCAAATTACACTAATCCAATTGTATGCTGCGAGTTGTCACAAGCCCAATCTCCGTCTTTGCGGATTCCTGCCAGCTTGAGCATGTTGAAGATGGTGCTTGGCATCCGCTGCAGTAGGCTCTCGCTCTGAACCGTCATGGCAGTCCCCAGCGAAGGCAATGGAGAGACTTCCTCGGGTATTATTATCAGTCTTCTTTGAAAGTCTTATCTCTAACTTTATAAATATCAGTCCCGGAGAGCCTTTTATCACCCTGTCCGTCTTATCTCTTGTGAAGTTTCAGGCCTCAATATTGCCCTCTTCCCACTCCATTCCCGAACGACATGCCGCATTGGACCGAACTTATTGCAGAGAAGAAACAGAGGCAGCTCAAGTCCATTCCACAAGAGTGGCTTGTGTCCCCTCCTCCAGACTCTACTCTGGACGTGACTGGTTTCCCGGAGACGTGCGGCCTTCTAACTGCACGAGAAATCGAGATCACCAATACTTCGGTGGATGTTTTGTTGGAGAAACTCGCGTGCGGCGAATGGACTGCTGTAGACGTTACCACCGCGTTTTACAAGAGGGCTGTAGTCGCTCACCAGTTCGTGAGCCAATTTTCGTGGACATTTTCTTGACGAAATTGTATTAACTAGCCAATGAGGTCAATTGCCTGACGGAAATATTTGTTGATCGCGCATTAGCCCGAGCAGCGGAACTCGATGATCATTTCATACGGACAGGGAAGGTCGTCGGTCCCCTCCATGGGCTGCCGATCTCTCTAAAGGATCAACTTTGTATCAAGGGGCTAGAAACTACCATGGGTGAGTGATAATCGATGATTCCCTGGTTCTGATCAATTATGAATCGCTGGTCTTAGGTTATGTCTCGTGGATTGGGCGATACGCAGAGAAAAATGCTGTGCTGGTCGACATTCTGATCGAGTGCGGAGCCGTGCCATTTGTCCGCACCAATCTTCCGCAGACAGTCATGGTGAGTGCACGCTGAACATGATTCAGGCTGCTATTCGGAGTTGAAC